AGCTGATGCCAAAGCTCCTAGTGTGTCAGCAATTTGAGTTGGTGAGGTGCATGATTCAAGACTTTGACCAAGGCTAGATATGACATAAGACAAACCACCAGAGATGTTTGCTAGAGCACTCATAGCATTCTCCTGTAATGCTTGAGCACACTCACCCTGCATGAATTCTTTGGAAGGAGCTATGGTAGCATTGATCAGAGAAGGAATACCATTAGCATTGGCTATCTCTCTCCTTGCCTCTTTGCACTGGGCAGAAAGAGATTTAAGAGCACCAGCTGCTTCAGCTCTAACAGAGTCATCATTACCAGGGCCTAATAGTTTCAGAAGTTGTTTTGTCACCTCCGCTGTCAACACCTTTGAACAAACAGATGCATCCTCCATCATTACAGAAGCAAGTAAATTGCACACATTAGCTAAACTGCTGGGCTGTCCTTTTGCCAGTAACTTCACTAATATGTCCACTCCTCCAGCTCGTATAGTTGCACTCCAGAATCCCTCAGTGTTGCTGGAGAGATTTTTCAATGCACCAGTCAACAAGCCTTCAACTACATTTCCTGCCTTCAGGCCAGTTTTCAGCTGCTCCCAGAGCACTGGTACGACTCCTTCTGTTGAAAATATTTTTGAACCAACATGATCTTTCACGCCACCTTGAGAGACAGCATAAATGGTCTTTGCAGCAGCAATTTGTCCTTCAGTAGAACTGGACTTGAGTAGACCAAGCAAAGGAGGAATGCATCCTCCAAGCAAGACCTTCACCCTTAGTTCATTTTCTTTACAAAGGGAGCCCAAGACAGTTGCTGCCTGTATCTTCACACTCAATGAACCAGACCTGAGAAGGGAAACAAGTACCGGCACTGCCTGAGAGTGGGATCCAACAGCACTAAAAGCATTTTCACGCATATCTATAAGCTCCAAAAGCTGCCTTAAGGAATACTCTTTCTCCTGCACAGAATAAGAGCTCTGACGCAGCTGCTCAATGCATTGGGCAACACTAGCTAATGTTCCATCTGGATCCTCCATGCTGTTGTTCCGCTCTCTGCAAGAGCAACCAGTTAAACATGTAAGAAGCTAAAATTTAGTGAACACCAATTTGAATGGCCATAGTTCATAAACCAAGTCATCAATGGTTCTTAGTTCACTCCCACAGGTTAGACTGTTAGCTTACTTGGTTGCAAGCAGAACAGATAATAACAAACAAAATATATTAAATAAGGTGTTACAATCATGGATTCTAGCAGCATTGCAAACAACTAATCAATAATTTTATTATATTGCACAGTCTGTGTCAAGTTTATAGGTATGTTTGAAGTTGTATTGTAACCAACCTCAATCCCATCTTCAGAACAGAATGTGGAGTTGGGGGCTCTGAATCTTGAGTATTCCTATCACCATTTCTTTCCTGCAATCAAAAGAAAAATAATGAAGTGTGTTATATGCTAAGGTATGTTCCATATCTCTGAAAACACCAAATAAAAGATGGGAAATAACAAAAATAAACACAGACAAAGGAATCGCACAAAAACAATCCGCCTATGAGCATTTTCTGATTTTCAGTTTCTTTTTCTTTTTAACAGGCATAAAGCCAGTGATGGATGGATAACTAAGTAGTTCACTCTAAAACAAAGAGATGAAATGGGAAATCGGGTCTGATGGAAGAGAGATGAGCCAACACATGTAACAGTTTGATTACATTCCACGTGAAGAAAATGAAATTTTCAAAGCATTAAACAAACAAAATTGTTGTTTTTGTTTTCACTATAGTTTATTTTGATACTTTAGGATTGCATCTTATTGAACAAACCCGAAGGGAGACCTGAGGAAGTGAAAGTCGTTCTTCAGCAATATAAGACATCAGCAAAGAATCACGCATCTTAGCAAACCACTGAACAGTTAAGTAAAATACAGAAACAGACACGAACTATTTTATAACTGCCATTCTTTCTTTCCATTTTCTACTTTTGTCATGCATCCCAGATGATCTATTGAATTTCCATGGTTAGAAGTGCTACAAAAACCATCACTCACCAAATTCATGATATCAATGAAACTCTACGCACTATGAAGAACCGTCTATCGTTTCTGGTGTATCAATTAAAATTCGAATCACACATCAGCCAAAAAAAAAAAATTGTAATCTCAATATCTGCAAATTAAATCATATAATTCCTTTAAACTTCCATGATGGGTGATCCCCAATGACAATTCCCGGAATCGTCAAACGTCTAGCACAAAACTGCAAAACATGGACTGAGCAAAGCAATGGACAGAAAGCATCCAGATGCAACCAAATGGAAACGAGCAAGATCCATAAATAAACTTCACTCAAGCAAACACTGACCACCACACAACACTTTCCACTCATACAGGCACAACAGAAGATAGTAGAAAGATGAAATTGTTGTCAGGAAGAATGTACCAGATCATTCGCATTGTTGGCAGCGAGTCTCCAAGCGAGTGTGGTGGCCATCGTGAGTTGGGTTTCAGTTGCAGGAGTTCAGATCTGGAAGAGTGAAAGCATCAGTGAATTTATCCATCGAGATCCAAAGTAGGAAGTAGCAAACACATGATGGAAGTGGAATATGGTTGAAGAAGTGAAGAATGGTATTGGGGAATGGGAATGAACGAGAGTGAGTGAGTAGAACAGAAGATGTAGAAGAAAAAGAAGGAGATGATGAAATGGGTTTCGTAGAGGATAAGAAGACGAGAGAAGGAAGAGGAACAAATGTAGTTGGTTGCACCTTTTCCTTTTTATTTTATTAATTTTCACTTTGTCACTCCGATAATTGATTGTGTCTTACGTTTTCAACTTTTCGGTGGGAAGTGTTTGATTGGGTGTTTTTGACGATCTCGGCGTCGCCACCGGAGCACCGACAGTGGCAAGTTCAGTTCCAGCTCAAAGCTCGTTACCTGCCTCACAGAACATGTTTTTTATCAATAATTATAAAAATTCTATTTTAAATAATTATATTATTACTAAAATTGATTATTTATAAGAAAAATCACAACAACTAAGAATTGTGTTGATCATATTGATAATAATATTTCCTTTTATATATCTTTATCCAACAAAGTTACTAGCTGTTAAAACACTACAGTTTTCTAAGACTGTTTAACAAGAAAGATTTGAAATTCTTCCAATTATGGACAAAACAAGTGGTATTTTTTATAATGATTTGAAAATTATGTTAAGAAAGTAGAAAGAGATTGATGAGTTGTATTTTACAAAGATTCTTTACACTACGTATAAGGGACTTCTAAATTAGGTTAATTTTTCAAAGAGTTTGTAAGAGCATTAAAGGGGTATAATTAAGTGACTTCTTAATTAGGTTTAGGGTTTCAAAACATATCTATCCATTAATTGCAAGTAAAATAAATTGAACCAAAATTTGTTGGGTTTAATGTTAGATAACATTCTTTTATCACAAACATTTTTTTTCTATTTTTTATAAAGTTATGTACATTGAAATTATGAAAATATTACTTCTCTGATATATTTTAAATATTTTTATAAACATTTAATTGTAAAATGATAATATTTTATTTATATAAAATAGAAAAAAATTAACTTTTTATATTAAAAGATAATTTATCTTATTTTTTATAAATACATAATTAGAAATGAATTGTGACCTTTCTATCATGATTGTATTAACTTTGATGGTTTTTCTTATTTAAAATAAATAAATATTTAACTATTACTCAAGAGATAACTTTAATACACAAGTTGAAAATATTTTTTAAATCAAATAAACTAGTTGTTAGAAATTTTTACTCTTCAATTACTATAATGATTTCAAAGTTCAAGAAAAAATATTCAAATTCAAGTTTCTTACATTATTTTTTATTTGTTTCAATAAATAATTTTTTGCAATGAATGGATTTATATTTAATAATATCAAGAATTCGAAAGTTAACAAAAATTTTAACCCATATTTTCAAAATTGGATAAGTCAATATACTGGTAAATGGTTCAACTGAAACTGACTCATGATAGAATTGATTTTAACAAATATTGATTAAATATATAATACTATTAAATAAATATAGTATCGTATTAAAATAAAAATATGTAAAATTTAAAATAAACATAAAAATTTAAATAAAATATATCACAATAATTATATTAAATTAATAAATAGAAATGATATCTTTTAACAATCACAAGTTTGCATACAAAATAAAAAAGTAAAATAATGAACTAATAGAATATAAAACTATCCAAAAGTAAGATACAAAAATAAAAGATTATATATATAATTGAATTATATTTTTTTATAAAAAATATATTAGTTGATAAAATAGTTTATATAAATTTGTAAAAGTAACTAAATATGGTTTTCTTTTTTATTTATTAAATTTTACATTTTTTGAAAATCACCTGTTAAAATTTTTAATGGATCAGTTTTTACTGGTTTTAGAATTTTATAATTTAATATAATAACTAATTATTAAATGGATTTCCAATTTGATTGTAGTCGGGTTATAAAATTATATTTTTAAAATAAATTTACTTAATTATATTATTCAAATTTAGCCTAATTATAATACTTTTAACAAATATAACAAGATTAACCTCTAATTTAACATAATGATTAAATATTGAGTATATATTATAATTAATGAATAACGATGAAAAATCGATAATATTATGAATTTATATATTTCCGAATGTAAATTATATGTTATTGGCAGTTTATTTTTCAAAACAATTATCCCATTACTTTCTTTATATTCTTCTATTAGTCCTCACAGAAGAAAAAAATCTTAAAAAAAAACTTATACTTATTACATCATTCAACTAATCCTTTAGTTAACATTTTTCAAATATGAGAAGTTGAAATGTCACCACTGGGCACCAGCGATTGAGATGGTGGACTCATTACTCAATCTGGATTTGGAGATGACAAAAACAATAAGAAATTAAACATTTGAAGGTTGTTGAGTCACAAAATGATTCATCATACAACCACACTTTTTCATTTTATATTCAAAACATGTTCCTAGTCATGTGCAGTGTCTTTCTAATTTTTTTTTTCAAAAATAATTAATTGATTTCCCTTGTTTTTATTCCTCCTTGTCCTTTTCTTCTTAATTATTGCTCTTAATTTTTTACCATTTCCTATATACCCTTTTAATTCTACCAATTAACATGTTTATTTTAACTTGTCTATCAAACAATCAAATTTTTTATAAAGTAATTTAAATGATAATATGAAAAAATGAGAGAGAACCTGATAATCATCTTAGTAGGACAATAAGATTAAAAATAAAACACACTGTCAACAAATTAATCCAATAATTTTGGAAAGTTTCAATCAGTTGTTACATTATATGTTGACCTTTATTAAATCAAATACATCTATCACAAGTCAAGGCCATATAGTTTGTATAGTCTGTTTAAAAGTCTTTTTCTTATCTCATTTTCTTTATATTAAAATAGGAATTTAGGGTTTATTTGTTAATTGTTTTTAAAAACTAGTGTTTTAGTTTTTAAAAATTTAAAAATTTGCTCCATTATTATTTTATAAAATCATTTTCAAAAAACTGATGCTGCTTTTTAGCTTTTTAGAATTAAAAAATTAAAATCGTTAAAACATGTTATAAATTTTCTTTTTTCTTTTTATTAAATGTACTGCATTTTTGTCAATATTACATCATCCATTTTCGTACCATAAAATGATCAGAGTTATTTTTTAATTTTCAGCAGCTTTTTATTGTCATTCTCTCTCTCTCTCTCTTAAATAATTTTCAATCTAAAATTATAATTTTTTTCAACTTATTTTCAAAAATAAAACTTCAAAATTATCTCTAAAATTGTTTTTGAAATCTAAATCAAACTCTTAGAAACCATTACAGCACTGAAATGTTATTGGTCACTACTTAATAACTTTATAATTACAAATTTCACTAAAATTGGATTAGTGGTAAGAAGTTTAGATAATTTGCATTACATCTCAAAAGATTAAATTTTACTCATTAAAAACAAATAACAAAACAAAAGTGTTTTAATGAAATGAGATGTGATTAGGGTAAAACAGGAAAAAACGTGTTCCCCGAAAAACATGTCTGAAGCATTGTGCCTACATGTTTAACTACCATAAAAATAAAAACATGTTTGTGTTCTAACTTTTGATAACATCCCAATTGTAAAAACATCATTTGGCTTTGAAGAAAGCATGCTTTGAGTGCATATAACCAAAAAAATATCCTAATATTATAACATTTTCATTACTATATAAATTATAATAATTAAATAATTTCTAGAAAGGTTATTGTGTAAAAACTCATTGGACAAACAACAAATACAGTATCACAAATTAGTCTCTAGTTCGAACTATTAGATACTCATGACAAAAAAAAAACAAGATTAATCAACACAAAAAATAAAAACTATTATTTGAATTGAAAGTCTCTGGTATATTATTTTAATCTCAAAAGGTTGCACTGCAACATTTTTCGTATGTTTGAGGAAACTAAAAGGCAAAATTACAGAGCCTGATATTACTTGAGTCAAGACTCCAAAGCCATTGGAGTTGCATAGAAATCACAGAATCAACAAATTTCAGCTGCTTTGAAAGAGAAAAGTTAATTGTTTTCCTCGTAGGTCACTAATTCCGTTGGCATAACCCGCCAAAGATAATCTCTGCAACCTTAGGTGTTGAATCAACATGGTTTTGTACATATTTAAAATTTGAGAATCATGTAAGGCTAAGGGAATTGGCATAGGATTGAAGAAGTAGCACAGCTTGCTCAGAAATAGCCCTGTTTCTTGCTTGCCTCGCCCAACCTGCAACGATTTCTGCAGCTTCTGTGCCTCTCACACTTTCTTCCAGACAATCTGCTGCTTCAACAAGTTTTCCTTCAGCCAAATAACTCTCTACTTTATTGATGACAGATTCAATTCCGTCACCAGATTGGTCGTCTTCCCTAACCTGAGTGAGCATCAAAGTCAGACATAGGATGAGCTCAATAGAAGCCAGAAGGGAAGATTTAGAGCAAGGGGGAAGAAATCAACAAAGTTAATTTAAATACGTGTATTGTGCCTAAATAGAAACCGATTTCACTGCCCCCCCAAAATTCTATTTTCACATAAAGCACAGGATATTGGTCAGTTATTCACATACCTTCAACCAGGATGCTACATGTGCCAAAAAATGTGCCAATATACCTCCCCCTCCTGGTGGGAAAAAGCTGAAGTGTCGCACACTATCTTTTAAGGCATCAAACTGCAACAGAATATGCACAAATGCAAAACTTTTATGATTGAAATCCGTAAGTAAATGATTCATTCTAGAATTGATGCAGTGAGAAAAAAGCAGAAATTGCTCCATTTGATTAATTCTAACTGTTTTGTACAAATTCATCACTATGGCAGCTTCACAAGATAGGAGCATTATAGAATGTGAAAAACAACCAATTCGATTGATCACTGATGGAACGTAAGGAAATCAACTTAAAGGAACCGTGCCCAGGCTATAGGCATCCAAACCATATAACCTTTTAACAGATATTCAAATAAAAGTTTTACAGGGTCAAAGTGATAACATTCTTGCAGAGGAAAGTAGCAATTGTTATATAGAACAAGTAATCCAAAACTCTATGTAAAGTTAACCGCAGACAAGAGCACAGCTTGCCTTCTGCTTTAACTGCAGTTGTGTGTCTGTGCCATTGCTTCGTGTGTCTTCAGGAAGGGATGCTAGCACCAAATCCAAAACTGAATCTTTATCTATGCCTCCAAGATAAGACTGCAAAGATGCTATTTCTGTCTCAATTGGCAATCCTTTAGATAGTGCATCTTCCAATGCAAGTGCTCTCTGCAGGATCCAAGCACAAATAAAAAGAAACTGGTAAGCAGGACTGGAAAAGTCAATAAAATAATATAAACCCATATTTTGTCACTAAGCTCCACGGACAAAAGATGGATAAAAACAGTTTAAAAATGAGAAAATAGAAAACATTACCAAAGCAAAATTTTGTGTAGCATTACTTTGACGAGCTTCTTCAGATCGAGCATAAAATGCCATGCATAAGGCATTTATCTATAGAAATGGAAGGAAAGAAATTTTTTAATCAAGTCAAATTTTAACGTCCACTGAAAAAAGTCAACAAGTTTGTCAATTAATAAATATTTCAAGTCAAGCCTTGCTAGCTAAAACATGTCAATTAATAAAAGTCTATGAAGTGTTTTGGCCTTTTCAACATGAGTGTTCCTTTAAGGTTGCATAACCAAACGATCCTGATAATTTCAAGCAAGCCATGCTTGTATATATGTCGAACACACAATGATGAAAAAAAATGGTTTCCTCTGACAAAACAAATATCCAGCAAGTCGCATGTAAACTTACTATAGCTGTATGGTTCATCCTTGGGGCAACACAGGTCCATAGATAAAAAATATTTGAAGGCAAGAAATTCACTTATATACATTTCACATTTCCGTTTAAGGTCAAATGCAGTTGTACTGAAAGTTATCTGCGAACTATTTATAAAACATTTTGCTTTGGATGTAAAGAAAGGTCTCAAACCAGAGAAGACTCAAACAAAATAGTAGGTTTGATGTTATTTGGGTTCTCAGTATGTATAGCATTTAAGGAAGTTCCCTAGTATCTAAAATACATAAAGGGACACCATCTCTTTGCTGTCTGCACTTACATTTGGATCCTAACACTTCAATCTTAAAAAAATTCCTCTATAGTGAGCCTACTACGTGATGAACAAGCAATATTCATAAGCCAAGAATGATGGAAAGTACAGTGCAAACTGTACCAAAAAATCTACACTGGCAAGCAAACTTTGTATCTGTTCAGAAACTTGCTGATGACTAAGAATGCATGTGCCAACTGGCAGAGTACTAATTGATAATGATAAAAATTGCAGGAGACAGCTCAAATCATAATTTGATTAGACATTGCTTTTGCACACCATGAGTTAATTTTCTCAGAACTTTGTGAAAAAGTCTTGGTATAAGTTGCTCCAGAAGTTTTTTATACTCATGTAAAACTATTCTTGCTATTTTATTCTTCTAGATGGCACCTATCAAAATTATATCCCTTTTATTAAATTAATTGAAATCAAGTTATGAATATTTTAAGTGATCTACCCATCCTTGATTTTAGCAGAAATCTCACATTAACATTTGCTTCAGCCATTTTTTCAATTTGGGCTGCCTTCTCATTTGCTATGGCTGCATTTAACTCTGCCTTTGCTAATTCCTGAACTTGTTTCAACTTCAATTCAGCTTCAATTTCCTGCAATCACCAAGTATGCATTATTTTTTAACAAAATACTCCTTCCCTCCTATAATAACTGTTATGTACGAACAAAAAATAAGTCCCAAAATAAGTGTAATTTTAGTTTTTAATGCAATATTAATTAATATTTCCACTTATACCCCTTGTAAGTGTCATTTTAGCTTTTCAATGTAATATTGATAATAACATTATTTTAATAAAATTAATATTCTCTTTCATATATTTATTAGTTTCTTTCTTAATCTGTGTCAAAAAAACTAGGATGACACTTAATATGGATAGAGGGAGTATTATATAGTAACTGATAACAGTAATAGCAGCCACGCAGAGAAAATGGCAAAACAGTACTTTTAAAACCAACAAAAAATTAAACGTGTACCTTTTGTTCAAGTTCTGTCTTCAGTTTCTCTTCCATCTTTTCTTGAAGCGACTTGATAGCAAGGGCGGCTTTTGCTCTCTCTCTCTTTAGCTCCTGAAAAGTATTCAAAGGAAAAAGGAGGAACGGTAGAGTTAACTTAATAGATTTGGATCTGTTAATCTGGTGATGAATAGTCAGGGAACGGCAAACAGCACATATCAAAGAAATGGTTCTACTTGATCAGGCTTCAACTTGGATTCTGATTACAAAGAAGCGTCACAATTACAAAACAAATATGACAGAATGAATTCAAATTGGATTCTGATTATTTTTGTTTGACCATTGTTGAATCAAACTCAGAACATAATAGTATAGCTTCAATTTTAACACGAACTATTTTGCTGAATCAAGAGTAAATAATTATGCTTAAGTTAAATGCATAGGCTGAACATCATGCCCATCGGCCGTAGCCACTTTTACAGAATTACTCTCTAGTTTAATATCAGAGCCAACCTTTATCAATGTCTTTTGTACTCCTCTAAATCCAGCCCAATTGTTTAAGACAAAAGCTAACCTCCCTCAATGTCTTGTGTACTCATGTTATTACAACACAAATAATTAAGACTAGCCAACAATAAAAATTAGATTAAATTTAATTGAATACAAATTAAAAAGAGAAGACCAAAAAGCTTTTTACCTTGTCCAACATCGCAGCCTCCTCAGCAAGCCTTAGTTCCACGGCAGCTGCATCTTTCAACTTCTTTTCATATTTTTCCTAAGAAGAAGAAAGTTCTAATTAAACAAAGAATTGAAAGCTCACCAATAAACCAAAAAGCTACAAATACTAAGCACACTTGCATGGATTTAGAGAATGAGTTACAAAGGAAGGTACGTTATAGGCCAAACCTTCAACACTTTCTTTTCTTCATTAAAAACATGAGCATCTAAGTCCGCCTGTCTTTTCTCAGCAGCATGGATGGCTTGCAAGAAATCAAAAACCAGTTTTCCATCCTCTGACACATAACCACCTTTCAACTCATCCATTGCACCACTAAGTGCCTAGTGTTTCAACGAGTTAGATTACACATGTATGTTTAAGATCGTAAATATATGGACCACATAAAAATATAAGCAAGATTCTAAAGTAACCTCTTTTCCTTCAGGGAAATGGCTATTCTCAGTAAAGCCATGACTAAATATATCAGGTGCAGGGTTTCTTTCTGATTTATTCCTTAAGTGATACTCCTCAAGGAGGGTGGGTTGTTGCTCTATATCTTTGTCTAATGCACTCTGTAATGGATAAAAAGAAATAAATGTTAAAATTCATTTTAGAAAAAAAAAAAAGCAACAGGAAAATCATCTGTGGTGAATTATAGGGAACAACTGAATCATTTGATATGTTTGCCTTCTATTATAAAATTTAAACCAGTATAATTTACCCTGATATTAACTATTAATCTGTATATCAAGCTTAGACAAACTCAAGTACCTCTCTTTTCTTCTCTGATTCTTGTATTTCAAGTTGCTCTGATTGAATATTTTTCATCCCATTTTCATCTGAAACTGAACTGATCTGTGTAGATGTGGATGTATTTTGAAGTCCCTCTGGTCTTGGGGTATTGTCTGTCTCAATGCTTTGTATTCCAATAATCCCATCAGATTGCACAACAGATTTTTTACTTGGATCATCAGATGTTAGACTGCTTTGAGGATATTCAGGCAATTGGTTTTCTTTTGCAGCAACAGTACCATCTTCAGGAATATTAAATTTTTCTTGAACAGTACTCAACTTATCCACCTGATCTTCTATTTCTGGCTGTGAAAAATGGGCATCAATATTCTGCTCTGCAAGCTGTACAGTGGGATTCTCGCTGTTCAATTTCTCATTAGGTGAAATTAACTGGTCCGTTGAATGTTGTACAGTCTTCACTTCTTCAATGGTTGTGTTGACATGAGCTTTGTGTGGAACACTATGATGTTCTTTCTTAAGATATTGATCCAAATAACCGGTTTGATATGCTGCCAGAAAAGCAGCACCTAAAGCTACACTTCCAATGAAAAACTTCGATAGAGTGCCACTAGACTCAGGTGGCTTGCTCGGAGACCCAGACGCTGACGCACCCCCTGGTTTTGATGCAGTTGAGAAATTCTTTTGTGAAGATAGATGTAAAGGTATCTGCTGAATTATTTAATAAAGAAAAGACAGTAATAAATTAGAAAAGGATAATATATGAAGTTGATTGAAATTTGATAGGAACCCAATTCAATGTTGGTAGAAATTTGCATATCGATTGAAAAATAAAACTACTACAGAACTGTAAGCTCCTCAGAGAAACTATTTCTCTGCTTAATAACACACTACCCTAAATTCTTCCCTACATACCTCTCTTATTCCTCTATATGTAATCGCATTGCTCCTCTTCTCTCTATATAACTAACTCTTTTCTCCTTACCTATTTTCCATCTAAGGTAACTCAAGTGGGCCCTGGACATTTGGGCCTGCAGGTACCCAATATTGGGTTGTCCTGATTCAATAGAAATTGGAAACCTATCAAAATTGGAAATAAGCACTACCAAATCAACAACCTAAGCAGTTCTTCGCACATATAGAGTAAAATAAATTGGAAATTTATAATAAGAAGAATGAGTTTCCACTCTGACTTTTCTGTCCTACATTCTTATAATCAAATTAATACAATAGCAATGGGAAGTGGTAACCCTAGCACCAGTTTTGCAATATTGGTATATATAAATTCATTGATCATTGTGCTAAAAAATAACAAAAGGGCCTCTTCCCAGTAAGTGGAGTCAACATATGGATTAAATGATGGCATAATATTTTATTGGAAAATTAGGTTTAGAGACAAACCATTGATCACTAAATATATATTAATGGTTTCACCTATAACTAGTTTCAGTTTTCCCTTGCCTCTTGTAAGCTACCCCACCATCCAATCTACTCGTCTAATTTAGGGTTCTACAGATCTTTGTACACAGACCTAAATCACCTATGATGAGATTCTACCATTTTTTTTCTACAATAGATGCTAACCTAACTTCCTCTCTAATGCATTTTTTCCTAATCTTATCTTGTCTACTTGTCAAGTATGTTCACTTAACATTCACAACATTCTCATTTCAGCTAGTTAAGTTTATTCTCTTGTTGATATTTTATCAACCAATATTCAGTGCCACAAATTGTTGTAGAGTTATTACTACATGTTGATAGTTAGATTGAGCATATCAAAATTGGAAATAAGCATCTTAGAAAGTGGACTTTTAAGTTTAACTCAAACTCACAAAACCAATTTGTAAGGTGAGTTTTGCTCCAACTTATATACTAAAATTATGTCATATATTTTGACATTACCAATACACTCTCAAACACCAAGGACTCGACATTTCGAACAAGAAACTAGATATTTGCAGATAGTTTAATAGTGGCCTGGTAGCCAGTAGCCAGTAGCATGATAAGCTCAATAAACCTCGCAAACACACGCTTTGATACCATCTTAGAAAGTGGACTTTAAGCCTAATCCAACCTTACAAACCAGCTTGTAACATAATATTTTACCCACTTATATGCTATAATTTAGCCATATCTCTAGTCAACCTGAGACCTCCAACAAAAAGCTATCAAATCAACACATATATACTGTAATTTAATAGCTAGAAGAATGTGTTTCCTTTACACTTTCCTGTCCTACATTTCTATAATCAAATTAACAGAATAGCAATGAGAAGTGGTAACAATAGCACCAGTTTGACAGTACATTGGTACACAAATTCATCAATCATTGTGCTATAGAAATAACAACCAAGCCTCTTCACAGTAGTTGGGGTTGGCTATATGGATTAAACAGTGGAATAACATTCTATTGCATCATTAAGTCTAGAGACACACCACTGGCCTCTAAATATTTCTTAATGGTTTCACCTATAAGTATTCATGATCTTCCCGTGTCTTTAGTAATTAAGCTATCCTCAATCAATCTACTAGTCTAATGGGGATTCTATGGATCTTCTCATACACACCCTAATTACCTAAGATGAACCATTCTTTCTACAATAGGTACCCTAACTTTCTCTGCTATGCATTTGTTCCTAAGCATATCTTGTCTACTTGTCTAACCATCACAACATTCTCATTTCAGCTAGTCAAGTCCATTCTCTGGTTGATATTTATCAACTAATATTCAGTGTGACAGATTGTAGTTACCGATTTATTATTACAAGTTATTAAAATCATATTGAATATATAATATACAGATAAAGATATCAAATATGCAGACAGGTTAGATGTTTCATTTGAGGGGATAATGCTTTTACTTTTGATTCAACATAGCAACAGGGGGCATACATGCAGGCACAGGTGACAATTCCATCATCGTGGTATAAAGTACTCTTCCTGCATTAAATATCCTAAGATCATCAAGAATCTTTTACTATTTGAGCTAAGCAATTAAAGTACTACGTGCTCTAGGTATTGTATTATTGCTACTTTGTTTGAAACGCAATTATGAACTATCTACATTTGAGCTTACAACTTTTGAAATCCAACCACCTATTGAGTATTTTACCCTATGAGAAACAATCCTATATCCACCTATGCATCAGTTAGTAGCCAGAGGTCTCCATCATCGTTATAGTTTTGCTTTTAATTTTTAAACACTTCCAAATAGATTGTCCAATTTACATATCTGTATTTTATTTATATGCAGGGAGCAATATCCATAAATATGATCAGGCGTGAAAATGGAGCAAAATCTAATAGAAACCAACTATGTGTGCACTATATAGAAAATGTAGAAGGAAATAATAAGAGAAATAGGTAGCCCGGAGAAAATGTAGCGGCAGTGCATGATCAGAGAACCCTGTCCAGCGTATACAACATGATGAAAACTCCTGTTGTCACTCCTAAAAATTGTAACCTTGTGAGTGACAAAGTAATTGGTCTTTATATAGCTTTAGAAAAGTCTTATTCAGCGGCAAATAGCTTGAAAAATAGGTTTAGTTTTCTCCTAACAAGTAGAGTCTCCATGCAGCAACATAAACTAGGAGGAAGCTTTGGATTATAAACTTGTTTAATACTATCTTTTCCATCATAAATACATTTTGGTCATTTTGATTATTTTTGGGCCTCTATGATATCTGCCTACTAGTGGTTATTTAGTTGGGGTTTCAACTTTAGGACTACATAATTCCGAAGTTTTTCCTAGCTCTCAAAAGTTTAATTTGGCCTTCACCTTTGTGTTTGTTCATGCGACAGAACCACAAGTGAAGTGGCTAGATCAATCATCTTCTTACTTTTAACTTCACTAACCTTTTTCTAATTTCCCAATATGCACATAAATATCTGAATCCAAAGGTAGAAAACACCCAATATACGCCTTTCAGTTTACCAGAGCCACTTGGAATGAAGGGCACAGACCAAAACGGTTGAAAAGCGAGAAGCAAAAAAATATGTTTTTGAAAATATGAAAACATACGATTAACGAGCAATGACCATATTATGCATTGAGAATAAAATGTAGAAGAACCTGATATACAAAACGTCTGGGGTTCGTTCTTAGAGCTGGGCGAGATGATATTTGCAAAATGGACCTTAGAATTGAAGTCACAGAAAAAGAAAAGAGCGGTTAGAGAAATCAAATCATTGGAATGAAAAAGAATCGATTTCTCTGGCACCCAAAAATGGAAAAGGAAAGAGGGAAAAGAAGCGTTGGTTGAGCTAGGATAGGCGTACCGGCGCAACATGGCAGTGGGAAAGTGAGATTGAGGGTGAAGAAGTGAAATGGATCCAGTGAGTGAGAGTGTGGAGGGAATGTTTCCACAAGGGTGGTGCAACTCAACCTTAATTTCGCTACACAGATGAAAGTAACAATTTTCAGGGATGTTCTGTTCCCTGATTTTAATTATTTTCTGCGTTCAGAAACGATGATACGACATATGACCCGTTTGGTTTAGTCCGATCTGAATGTTTGACCCGAGAACAAAACAACCCAATGTATTAATAATGGTTAATACTAGATATTATTATCGTGTTTATTTTTCCGTATTTCAAGAGAATGAAAATAAGTTATTTTTCCGTATTTCAACAGAATGAAAATGAAGTCCAAATGAAAAAAAAATGTATCAAAAATAGATAGAATGAGATATGTTTGTATAATTCAGTTATTTATTCTTATTATTTAAGTAAGTACATTAACAACGAATTATATCACTAATCTATATTTATTCAACTTAGCATGATAATGGACTTTATGTCTATGGAATTGTGTAATGATATTGTTTATGTTACCATTAATCTCATTTAAACTACTCACATTTTGTGTTATGAGTTTTTTATATGTATGTTAACTTTATCATATTGTTTAGAAGTGGAGTTTAATGTTAAGAAAACTGATAATTAAATATGATATTCATTCTAATGATCAAATATATATATATATATATATATATATATATATATATATATACCCATATTGTAAACATGTTATAAACTAAATGCGAAAGCGTCATGCGAATTGGTCATAATGACGATATCGCTTTCATACAACGACTTTTGATTTGATCTTATGGTCTTCCACTTGAAGAAGCGTCTGTATTTCCCTCTTGATTTTCTTTCTTGATGGGGATAGAAAGAAAAGAACGGGGTTATAACTACGTTCTGTCTACGTGCTCCCAGAAGGGGACCATGACCCCTTAAAATAACCAAAATTAGTTTAATTACTTAAGTTTTAGTATTTTCAATTTGGCCCCTCATCAAATTAGAAATTGCTCTATGATCTCTACACAATTTTATTTTCATGACATATGCCTTTAGCCAAACCTTTTTAATTTAGTCAGATCACTTTATTATTTGGCTTAATAAATAATGACTACTAACACATTTAAATATGTATCATATATATACATGACCCAAATTTTGCCAACAATCTCCCACTGGTCACAAATATATATGTCCTTACAACCTCACAAATGTGTTAGACTTTATGAGCTCAAAATTGTCATTATATTCCTTTAGTATATTCCAAAAGTCTTGTCCATTAATCATATCAGGATATAGAACCAGACCAGCTTTTCATTGTATAATCGCAACTAAAACCAACAATGATTACTCATCCTGACATAACCAAACGACATGGATTCATCATGAAATGTGTAGCATGAAAATTTACGTGAAGGTGATCTGTACACGTCTATTTTCAACTGGTCCAAACTTTAACTTATCGAGATCGATATAATAACCTTAATGTACAAAGTGTAATGAATGAACAAGAAAACCGTATATCTATAGATAACCAAATATGTCCAAAAACAATGTATACATATATTAAATTAAACATAGAACATAAAATATATGAAAATGACTAACTCCCACTAAACCACAAATTCCTCAAACTGTAAAACACCCATGTGAGCAACATGTTCATGAAAGACCTTGGGCGGAAGTCCTTTAGTTAGAGGATCTGCTATCATGGAGTTTGTCCCTAAATGTTTTATGGAAATCTGTCCACTCTGTACTCTTTCCTTAACAACTAAGAACTTAATGTCGATGTGTTTTGACTTAGTTGAACTTCTATTGTTGTTGGAATACAATACTGGTGATTTGTTGTCACAATATAACTTAAGTGGTCTTTCAATGCCTTTCACAATTTGCGGCCACTGTGACAAAATTTCTCAGCCATATTCCATGATTCGACGCCTCATAGCATGCTACAAATTCTGCTGCCATAGTGGATGAAGGCTGTAAGGTGCAGCTTGACCTTGCGCCAAGCAACTGCACCACTGTCTAACATGAAAATGTAACACTGAAGTGGATTTCAAACTATCTTGACATCCTGCAAAGTCCGAGTCGAGAAAACCCGGCGATCTCCAAGCTGGTCCGATCTCACGTATGTGAGCATGTAATCTTTTGTTCTCTTTAAATATCTCATGACCCTTTTTGTTGCTTTCCAATGGTCCATTTCTGGATTGCTTAAATATCTGCCTAGAACCCCAACTATGTATGCTATGTCTGGACGCGTACATACTTGGGCATACATTAAACTCCCTACAGCTGATGCATAGGGAATCTTTTGCATTTCCTCAATTTCCAAATTTCCCTTTAGGCACTGATTGAGACTAAACTTGTCTCCCTTAGCAACTGGAGTATCCCCGAATTTACATTCATGCATGCCAAACCTTTTAAGAATTGTTTCGATATAGCTCCTTTGTGATAATCCCAAAATACCCCGACATCGATCTCGGTGTATCTGAATTCCTAATACAAAAGACGCATCACCAAGATCTTTCATTTCGAAATTCTTTGATAAAAATTTCTTGGTTTCGTGCAATATGCCCATATCATTAGTGGCAAGTAGAATGTCATCAACATACAAGATCAGGAAAAGATACTTACTCCCCTTAAACTTGTGATATACACAATCATCAACAATATTCATCTCGAAGCCAAATGAGAGAATTACTTGATGAAATTTATAGTACCATTGACGATATGTTTGTTTTAGTCCATTAATGGATTTTGTCAGTTTGCAAACCATACTCTTTGAATCTCCCTGCACAAAATTTTCTGGTTGCACCATATAAATCGTCTCATCAATGTTGCCATTAAGAAACACCGTCTTGACATCCATTTGATGAAGTTCCAAATCATAATGTGCTACAAGAGCCATGATTGTCCTAAAAGAGTCTTTCGATGAAACTGGAGAGAAAGTCTCTTTAAAATCAATCCCTTCCTTTTGGGTATAGCCCTTGCTACCAGACGAGCCTTATACCTTTCCACATTACCTTTAGAATCCCGTTTGGTCTTAAATATCCACTTGCAACCAATGGGTCTCATACCTTCTGGTAATGGGACAAGTTCTCAAACCTTGTTATCTTGCATGAACTTATATTCCTCCTTCATTGCTTCAATCCACTTTTCAGAGTTAGAACCTTGCATGGCTTGACGGAAGTTAACTGGGTCATCTTCCATCATACCATTGTTTTCCTCATGTTCCTGAAGAAATACCATGTAATCATCCGAAATAGCACTTCTTCTTTCTCTAGTGGATCTCTGCAAAGTTATTGGCTCATGATGCATAGGTTCTTGAGGATCTTGAGTTTGTTCTTCATGAACAACCAAATCATCTTGAGTAAGGGGTTCATTAACAATGCCTTGTGGAGGTTCGAACTTACTTTATCAAAAGTAAGCTGTTTGAATCGGTTACGGAATTGTAACCGATTCTTCCTCCAAGACAAAGTTCCCGATTTTATTCTTCCCCCAAACTCAATATCCTCAAAGAACGTAGCAGTTCCCGTCTCAAAAATTGTCTTTAATGTGGGATCATAAAATTTATATCCCCTGGATCTTTCAGCATAACCAATAAAATAACTACTTACTATTCGTGAGTCCAATTTCTTTTCATTTGGCTTATAAGGCCTTGCCTCAGCTGGACAACCCCACACATGGAAATGCTTCAAACTAGGTTGTCGCCCAGTCCAAAGCTCATAAGGTGTTTTGGTCGCTGCTTTAGTTGGTACTCTGTTCAGAATATAAGTTGTCGTCTTTAGTGCCTCTCCCCAGAGTGACTCTGGTAAGGTGGAATGACAAATCATACTCCTGATCATATCTTTAAGAGTTTGATTTCGTCTTTCGACTACTGACATTCATGCTAGGTGATCCCGGCATGGTATACTGTGGGACAATTCCACACTCCTCTAGGTACCTGGCAAAAGGTCACGAACGTTGTTCACTGACGCGTCAAATGCTGTCATAGTACTCACCACCACGATCAGATCTGACAGACTTAATTCTTTTATTGAGTTGATTTTCAACTTCAGCTTTAAATGTGTTGAACACGTCTAGAGATTGTGACTTTTCATGTATAAGGAATAAGTATGCATATCGTGAGTAATCGTCTATGAATGATATAAAGTATTGTTGACCATTCCACGAAGGTGTAGGAAATGACCCACAAATGTCCGTATGTATCAACTCTAAGACGTCTGTAACTCTATATGCAACTAATCTCTTCGCTTTGGTCTGTTTGCCCTTAATGCATTCAACACAAACATCAAAGTTTGTGAAGTCAATGGACTCTAAGATTCCATTTAACACAATTCGTTCAACTCTATTTTTAGAGATATGACCTAAGCGCCCGTGCCATAATGCTCCTGAGTGAGTATCATCAATTTTACGTTTAGTACTCCGTGATTCTGTATTAAGGGTTTCATTATAGGTGGTCACATTATCAAGTGAATACAGATTATCATAAGGCAAAAGTGAACCAGTTCCAATAATATCTGAATTAAAAGACAAACTGAACTTATTGTTTTCAAATGAACACAAATAACCTAATTTGTCCAGATAAGAAACTGAAACCAAATTCCGTCTAAATGACGGCACAACAAAAGTGTTTTTCAAATCCAAATAAAAACCAGTACTCAATAACAATTTAAAATGCCTTATAGCTTCCACCTCTTCCAATTTGTCATCTCCAACATATATCCATCTTTCAGAATCAATTGGCTTCCGGTAGCTTAAACAACCCTTCATAGAAACACTGATGTTAGTAGTTGCACCTGAGTCTAACCACCAAGTGTTACTAGGTACTGACGCTAAATTGACTTCGAACGGACCAAAATAGGAAACATACTTTTGAGGATCGGAGCGAATTTAAATTGACGAGATACGAAACAATTGTAAGTTGAATTAAAAAACAAGAGAAATAAATTAATTATGCTCACATTATAAAAATAAATAATTATAAATAAAATATATATTCAAATAATGGTTTTAACCCATCTCAAGACACCCAATGCACCATCAATATCAAGTCTTTGGACGAGTAATATTAATCTGCTAGATGTATCTTGTTGTAATAATCAAACATTGACAATAAAGCACGTCCAACAACAAACCAGTCTTTGGATTGATTTATCATCGACAAAGCAAATCCTTATAATTATCACATGTTTATCATTACAAGTGTGTATATAATTCGGTCAAATATTAATCTTCCTTTAGGCTGACTAATACTCGCATGAATATACACAAACACTAACATTTAATATTTTTCACGAACTACCCAATTCAAGAGATGTTACTTTGATAACTTCTTGACTCAATTTGCTCACAAAAATATTAAACTACCAAACAAATTAATAATTTATTTATATAACAAAACCAAATTTATATAATTATTTATTTATAAAAAAAAAAGAATTATAATGGCACGGAATTCACCACTGCCATTCATAAAACAAGTATTTTCCAACTCATTCGAGAATGGGCTCAGAAACTGAGAATCCAACACACACCTAACAACCTAACCAACACAATCCTTGTTTCGCTTCAGCCCAAAATCACAGTTACCAACCTGTCACCAACGATAACAACAACATTTAAAACCGCTTACGGTTTTGGCGGTGACGATGCCCATAGTGACAACCGAGTAATGCTAGTCCACCCTCACACCCTCCTTCCCATACCAGTCGCACCGCATGATTTCCAATCAAACCAAAACGACGTCGCTCTACCGGGCTTCTCCGTCGGAAGCTTTTTTTTTTCTGCCAGCGGAGCAGCGACCTTTCCGCTGCGATCGTGAAGCGCGTCTCCTCGCTCCGACAGTCCACAGAAGAGGACAACGACGGCGAGAGCGCGAGGTAACGAAGTTCAACCTCTCCGACGTGAAGGTCGTGGTGACGACGAAGCGGGAGGAGGAAGAGGCGTCGTTGAGAGGACACATCAGCTTCTTCTCGCGGTCCGATTGTAGAGACTGCACTGCGGTGCGGAGGTTCTGAATTTGTCAAATTCGCACAATTTAATCACGAAGATCACTCGATACGAGAAGGTTGTGGATATTCCGAATTCCATGACTATATTGGATGAACTTCTTCCCATTCAATATATCCAGAAGTTTCCCCACCGACGTTGCCTGAAACGTTTCGCTCCTCTCGCTCGATTTGGGAATTTGGGAATTTACCCCAAATTCGAAACTAGGTTTAAAATTTGGGAATTTACCCCCAAATTTAAATTTAGGGTTTACAAAAATTGGAGATTATTCTCCACTTAGGGTTCTGAATTGAATAGAATCTTTGATAAATGTAATTTCCAAAGACAAACATGAATCAAGTATGGGTTGCTCTGATACCAATTATTGAGAAAACTGATAATTAAATATGATCTTTATTCTAATGATCGAATATATATATATATATATATATATATATAATCTCATACTGTAAACATGTTATAAACTAAATGCGAAAGCGTACCTGAATTGACCATAATGACGATATCCTTTGTAGAGCACTTTTGATTTGATCTTATGGTCTTCCACTTAAAGAGCACCTGTATTTCCTTCTTGATTTTCTTTCTTGATGGGGATAGAAAGAAAAGAACGGGACTGTAACTACGTTCTGTCTATGTGCTCCTAGAAGGGGACTATGACCCCTTAAAATAACCAAAATTAGGTTAATTACTTAAGTTTTTGTATTTCCAATTTGGCCCCTCATCAAATTAGAAATTGCTCTATGGTCTCTACACAATTTTATTTTTATGACATATGCTTATAGTCAAACCTTTTTAATTTAGTCAGATCACTTTATTATTTGGCTTAATAAATAATGACCCTAATACATTTAAATATGTATCATATATATACATAACCCAAATTTTGCCAACATTTAACAGTATTAAAATGTTACTAATTTCAGGTCAAAAGAACATATACATTATGATCATTTTAAGAATCTACTTATTATTTTTTTAAACAAGTGTTTATTTAATAAAATAAATAGATTTCTATTTTTTTACTAATTTGTTTATTAAAAAAAAACACTTTTTTTTTATTTTAATAACAAATCTCATGCATTTTTCAAATGAGTGATTATTTTAAATTTTGTTTATATTAAAAAAATGCTTACTTTAATAATAATTATGTGATACGACACACTTATTGTCGAATTGATAAATAATATGGTTACATCACATATTTACCGGTTAATGAATAAATATCAATATAAATATAAACTAATTTGATTGGTATAATTTAATTTAAGAGATTTATTTATATGCGCATCAAATTTTTTTCTACAGTAGCACGTATTCGTTTTTTAATTACTCAAATAACATAGTGTAGGTTTTATTTACCTAGATAGCATAGTTTTCTGTTAAGTTGAGAATTCGATTTTCTAAAATACGAAATCTGAACGTAATTGTATTTTATAATTTCTTCAAAAAATTTAGAATTCGATTTTCAGACAATCGAATTCTGAATAGTTTTCTTTTTATTTTGTTAAAAAAAAAACTAACTAATATATATATATATATATATATATATATATATATAATATGTTATAATATTTTATTTAACATTTATAGTTTTAAATTAGGTATTTAAAAAGATTTGTATATTTCTAAAATTAATAATATATTTAGATTTATTGTTGAAAATAGTAAAATAATATTTTTAAAATATATTATTAAATATTATATTTAAATTTATTTGTATGATTAAATTTGTTTTAATTTTTTGATTTATTTGATATTATAATTTTTTTAGATTTTAATAATAAATTAGGAGGATAATAAAAATCTTAAAAATTATACGTATATAAGAAGAAATAATATTTTGATGTAAAATTATATATATATATATATATTGTAAAATATAATTTATATTAATTATTATAATATAAAATATATATTTCAAAATATAACTTATTTTCATTTATATATGTATTATAGAAATTAAAACAAATTATATTTTAGAATATATATATATATATATATATATATTAAATATAAATTATTTTCAAGTTGATAATTATTATTCTAATTTATAATATATATATATATATATATATATATATATAATTAATTTAAAGTTTTTAATTTAAGTAATATATTTATATATAATTATAATTTTTTTTAAGTTATAATTATAAATATGACTTTTTTAATTATATAATTATAATTTTTATTAATAAGAAAAATAACTATTTTTTATGTTAAATAAATTATATATATAACATAAATTAAAATTACATATATTAATTTCAAATTAATTATTATTATATATATATATATATATTTATTGGATACATTAAAATAATAATTATCAACTTAATGTATACATTAAAATAATAATTATCATTTATACATTAAAATAATAATTATAAACTTAACATATACATTAAAATAATAATTATCAACTTAAAAATAAATTATATTTAATATATATATATATATATATATATATATATCATTCAAAATATTACAAAAATATAAAAAAAATACATTTAAAAAATATAATTTTACATCAAAATATTATTTCATTTTATATACATATAATTTTTAAGAATTTTATTATCCTCCTAATATATTATTAATTTCTTAAAAATATATTACAATATCAAATAAATAAATAAATTAAAAAAAATTAACCATACAAATAATATAAATATAATATTTAATAATATATTTTAAAAATATTATTTTACTACGTTCAACCATAAATCTAAATATATTATTAATTTTAAAAATATATAAATATTTTTATATTTTTATATTTTAAATAAAATATTATAATATTATATATATATACTAGTTTTTTTTCTTATCAAAATAAAAAAAATTATTTAGGATTCGATTGCGAACAAATCGAATTCTAAATCAATTACTTTTTTAATTACTTCGGATCGATTAAATTTTCAAATAATCGATTATATTTTCAAATAATTGGTTATAATCGATTACTTTTTCAAATAATCGAGATTTTAGATAAGCGGTTCTAGAACTACGTTATTAAAAATATATTTTAGATAGCGGTTAACGTGGAATAATATATCTATATAAGATGAAATAATATTTTGATATAAAATTATGTTTTTGAAATGTATATTTTTTTGTTTTGTAATATTTTAGAAGATATATATATATATATATATATATATATATATATATATATATATATATATATAAAATGAATAAAAATAAGTTATATTTTGAAATATATATATATATATATATATTATAATTTATCTATAATATATATATATATATAATTATAATTTATATAATATATAATTGATTTAACATTAAAAATATATATCTTTTTATTAATTTTATAATTATAATTTTTTTAAGGTTATTATTTTAAATATAATTTTTTAAAATTTATAATTATAATTTATAAAATATATATAATATATATAATTTATAAATAATTATTTTTTTAATTTTAATTTGATATATATTTTATTTGTAATTATTTAATGGATATTTGAAAAATAAATCAATTATAATCAATTATTATTTGAAAAGTTAATTGATTATAATCGATTATTTTAAAAAATAATAAGTAAGAAATGATTGTAATTGAGTAATTGAAAAACTAATCGATTAGTTTTTGAAATAATCGATTAGTTTTTTCGAGACTTGATGAAAACCAGTTATTTTTAAATAGCGGTTAACGTGTAATCGCTATTATATGTTCACTTTTAAGAGGGGTTAGAATATTAACCGCTCTTAAAAGTAACACATATATGATAACGGTTCCACTTTAACCGTTTTTAAAAGTGAACATATAATCGATTATTTTAAAATAATATAAAATATATTTTATATATATATATATATATATATATATATTTAAGGGGTTCCAATTGATTTCTATAATATATATATATATATATATATATATATATATATATATATTTTTTTTAACTAATCGATTATTTTGAAATAATCGATTAGTTTTTTATGAGAACCAGTTATTTTTTTAAATAATTGATTAATTTTTAAATAATCGATTAGTTTTTAAAATATATATTAAATAATTATAAATAAAATATATGTCAAAATAAAAGTAAAAAAATAATTATTTTTAAATTATATATTATATATATTATATAAATTATAAATATAAAGTCAAAAAAATTATATTTAAATTTATAACCTTAAAAAAATTATGATTATAAAATTAATAAAAATATAACTATTTTTAATACTCTAAATTAATTTTATATATAAAATTTACATAAATAAAAATAAAAATTATCAATTTAAAAATAAATTATATTTTAATATATATATATATATTTATTCTCTAAAGTATAACTTATTTTCATTTCTATAATATATATATATATATATATATATATATATATATATATATTTAACTATTCAAAAAACTAATCGATTATTTCAAAAAGTAATCAATTAGTTTTAGAACCGATTATTTTAGATATCGGTTAACGTGAAACCGCTATTATATGTTAACTTTTAAGAGTGGTTAGAATATTAACCGCTCTTAAAAGTGACACATATATGATAGCGATTCCACTTTAACCATTCTTAAAAGTGAACATATAATCGATTATTTTGAAATAATATAAAATATATTTTATAAAATATATATATATATATATATATATATATATATATATATAAATATATTTAAGCTGTTCCAATTTATTTCTATAATATATATATATATATATATAAATATAATTTTTTTAACTAATCAATTATTTTGAAATAATCGATTAGTTTTTTATGAGAACCAGTTATTTTTTTAAATAATTAATTAATTTTTAAATAATCAATTAGTTTTTTAAATATATATTAAATAATTATAAATAAAATATATATCAAATTAAAATTAAAAAAAATAATTATTTTTAAATTATATATATTATATAAATTATAAATATAAAGTTAAAAAAATTATATTTAAAATTATAACCTTAAAAAAATTATGATTATAAAATTAATAAAAATATAACTATTTTTAATGTTAAATAAATTATATATATTATATAAATTATATATATATATATATATATATATATATATTACATAAATTAAAATTACATATATGAACTCTAAATTAATTTTATATATAAAATTTACATAAATAAAAAAAAATTATCAACTTAAAAATAAATTATATTTTAATATATATATATATATATATATATATATATTTTAACTATTCAAAAAACTAATCGATTATTTCAAAAAGTAATCGATTAGTTTTTTAGAAAGGATGAGAACCAGTTATTTTAGATAGCGGTTAACGTGGAACAGTTATTATATGTTCACTTTTAAAAATGGTAAAAATGTTAACCGCTTCTTAAAAGTGACACATATATGATAGCGGTTCCACTTTAACCGATCTTAAAAATGAACATATAATAGCGGTTCCACGTTAACCGCTATCTAAAATAAATTTTTAATAGCGGTTAGTTCTAGAACCGTTATCTAAAATCTCGATTATTTGAAAAAGTAATCGATTATAACCAATTATTTGAAAATATAATCGATTATTTAAAAATTTAATCGATCATAACGAGTAATTAAAAAAGTAATTGATGTAGAATTCGATTTGTTCGTAATCGAATCCTAAATAGATTTTTTTATTTTGATAAGAAAAAATAACTAGTATATATATATATATATATATATATATATATATAATATTATAATATTTTATTTAAAATTTAAAATTTTAAAAATATTTATATATTTTTAAAATTAATAATATATTTAGATTTATGGTTGAACGTAGTAAAATAATATTTTTAAAATATATTATTAAATATTATATTTATATTATTTGTATGGTTAATTTTTTTTAATTTATTTATTTATTTGATATTGTAATATATTTTTAAGAAATTAATAATAAATTAGGAGGATAATAAAATTTTTAAAAATTATATGTATGTAAGATGAAATAATATTTTGATGTAAAATTATATTTTTAAATGTATTTTTTCTTATATTTTGGTAATATTTTGAATGATATATATATATATATATATTTTTTTTTAAATCTAATTTATTTTTAAGTTGATAATTATTATTTTAATGTATACATTAATTTGATAATTATTATTTTAATATATACAATAAATATATATATATATATATAATAATAATTAATGTGAAATTAATATATGTAATTTTAATTTATGTTATATATATAATTTATTTAACATAAAAAATAGTTATTTTTCTTATTAATAAAAATTATAATTATATAATTAAAAAATTCATATTTATAATTATAACTTAAAAAAAATTATAACTATAAAATGAATGTTAAATAAATTATATATATTATATAAATTATAATTATATATAGATATATTACTTAAATTAAAAACTTTAAATTAATTTTATATGTATATATATTTTGCATAAATTAGAATAATAATTATCAACTTGAAAATCATTTATATTTAATATATATATATATTCTAAAATATAATTTATTTTAATTTCTATAATATATATATATATAAATAAAAATAAGTTATATTTTGGAATATATATTTTATATTATAGTAATTAATATAAATTATATTTTACTATATATATATATATATATATATATGAATAATTTTACATCAAAATATTATTTTTTCTTATATACATCTAATTTTTAAGATTTTTATTATCCTCCTAATTTATTATTAATTTCTAAAAAAATTATAATATCAAATAAATCAAAAAATTTAAAAAAGTTTAATCAAAGAAATAAATTTAAATATAATATTTAATAATATATTTTAAAAATATTATTTTACTACTTTCAACAATAAATCTAAATATATTATTAATTTTAGAAATATATAAATCTTTTTAAATATCTAATTTAAAACTATAAATATTAAATAAAATATTATAACATATTATATTATATTATATATATATATATATATATATATTAGTTAATTTTTTTAATAAAATAAAAGAAAAACTATTTAAAATTCGTTTGTCACAAAATCAAATTCTAAATTGTTTAAAAAAATTATAAAATATAATTATATATAGATTTTGTATTTTAGAAAATTAAATTCTAAATAAAAATAAAAAATTGTGCTAAGTAAAAAAAACTACATTATGCCATTTGACTAATTAAAGATCGAATACATTATGCGCATGCCTAATAATCATAAATTAACAACTTTACCCTTCTATTTTTCTTCATCGTTGTTGATAATTTTCACCCTAAAGTGAATAATTTGTTTACGCGCACCCGTGTGGCTGATTCGGGTGATATTTAACCTAAACACCAAAACAAGCAGCAAAAGCAGGGATCAGTGTCACAAGCAAGATACGTTGTATGTGACAAATATCTGGTTCGCGTTCTTCAGCACTAATGGGGAATAACAGACAACGGAGATTCAGAACTCATCGCGGTCAATCAAGTCGACACCACCAACAACTCTTACTGTAACTGCTTTCCCATTGCTTGTGATTTTGATTTTTGATTCATATTTAAACGCCTTTTGCTTATCCATTCATTTAACTCTGCTTCAGAGAAGATGATTCTCAAAGCTCTGTTCCAGGTACTTTTTTATTCCATATTTTTTTTTGTTCAAAGCTTTTCCTTTTTTTTTTCGAACATAATATGCTTTGTGTTCGCCGCGTGATATTTTTTGTAACAGTAGAAAATGGTGAGGGTGAAGCAGAGGAGGAGGAGCTAACGGAACCCAAAATAAAGCTTGCAATGTGGGTATGCATATAACCGTTTTACTAATTTTAATTTAACTGAGATTATTAGCTTTTCATTATTTGCTTACTTTTCTCGTAAAAAGAAAAGACAATGGCTATTGCATTGTTTTATTGTGCTAAATATTTGATTTTGTTTTGTAAACATAAATATACATCAATTTTCGTTTGATTGATGGCGTTGGCATCGTACACATTCCAGGGTGATACTGTCACACTGATGAATTTATGCTTACATTGGTCTTTTCTTGAGTAATTTCTTTCTACTTGGGGATGGGAATACCCCTGAAGTATTCATAATGTCATATTGCAGTGATATCAGTTTCAATTTTTTTCTTTCATTTCTATCAAAGTTGATGGTAACTAATAAGTTGTCATTTGAAAATAAATTTATATTTTTTATGGATTTCTGTCCTGCCTCCTAGTCCTGAACCCAATATTCATCACTGAATTTTGGATGTAATTGGTTCCTTGTGATGTTGACTCAGGATTTTGGGCAATGCGATGCCAAAAGGTGTACTGGTCGCAAGCTTTCAAGATTGGGCTTGCTAAAGGCAAGTATTTGTCTTTTTTGTTCATTCTCTGATTACCATATATACACATGATTAAGTGTACTCTGTTCATACATATTTACATACATAAGCCTAAGCATGAATATATAAATATATAAGTACGTCTACATATATCTTGTATCTGATTTAATTGGACGTACGGTGTCATTGTCATGATTAGATTGATTATTTCTTTCATATTAAATAAATAACACTTAATAAAACTAGTGATGAGACTCAAATACCAATACGCTGGTATTCATTCATTATGATTTATTGGGGAGAAAAAAAACTAGTGATGTTACATAAATTCTGGAATTGGGGTGTGTGTGCAAAATGAATTGATTTACGTTGCTGTAAAATCACACTTGCACACCATTAAATAACTTCTCATTGAACAGAATTTATCCCCAAACCCATTATTAAATTGAAAGTTCCTATCTCGTAAATCATATTTATAAAATTTTTTATTAATCTAAAATTATTTGATGTCTCATTAATGTTCATCAAACTAAGATAGTCATAACATATGCTTTTGAAATATTGCAAAATAAGAATTAAGAACCATTTGATTATATTCTTATTCTCTCAATTGTTACTAGATTTGGTAGAGACGATCAAGTTAATCTATAATTATGATTCAGTAGTTGGATCAGTAAAATTCACATTATACATAAAGTTAATGAATGATGTAAAATGCTAAGTCTTACACCAATGAAATGTTATAGCATTTATATGCGGTGTTAGCAACACCATTTTATACTATGCTTACATGCTTTATTTCGTTTACCATATATTAGTTATTTAATCATGTTTTCCCTTTAAGTTGGTTATTATACTTTTCTCTCCCCTAGGCATGTCTAACAAACTAATTCTATTAGCATGGGTATTGGTGTCCCAATGGAATACATGTTTCATTCTCAAGCAATCTACTCTCTATGACCAAGTCCATCGGAAATTATTCAGCTATTGATTTCCCTACTCTTGGTTACTTGTATTCTTAGAATTCCCCCTAAATCCAAATTTCCATCACATGTATATATATATATATATATATATATATATATATATATATATATATATTTGTCACTGTTTTGAAAACTGAACTAGTCGATTCTACCAGTTCAAATAGACTATAAACCAGTCCATTACTTCCAAATAACTAATACAAAACCGAGAAAACTGGCCCGATATTTTGGTCTAACCAATTTTGGTTAGAAAAATATTTTAAAGATCAAAGTTTTTAAATTTTTTTATAAAAGATATAACATTTTTTAGTTTTTTTCTTTATTTATCTCACATTAGTTACATCAATTTTAAAGGTTATTTTATTATGTTTTCATCTTACACTTTCTATCTTTCACTGTCTAAAACATTTTATATTTGTAACCTTCATGGTAACATATGGTTATCATGATAACAACCTTTATTATTTTTCTTTCTTTTGTAAATAAATTGTTACTAGTGAACTTATCATATACTTATTATATTATAAAAATATTATTTTATTAGATCCGATTAAACCTTGGTTAAACCTTAGTTGAACAATTAATCCTAAACCTATCTCTTCACCGATTCAGTGACCAGTCCGATTTTAAAAACATTGATATTTATTTCAGGGTGTATAATGCTAATTCCTAGGTGGGAAAAAGCCCATGACCTACATATGTTGCTAATTACCCAAATATTTAATCATTGGATTTAAGTTCTTATAAAGTATATTAAATCTATCGAAAGTTTCATTCAATTCAAAATCTATTTGATATTTTGTTTTACCACTTTATTTTAACGCATAATATATTATTAAACTATAAGTAAATCTTTAGTATTAGATTACATATTTATGGATGTCCAAATGATCTTAAATTTACCATGCATTATCATTAGGGGGGCTGTGCTAGCAGAAGTAATTTGCAAATAGTCCCTTGTTATTGTTGATTCAATACACTACGAAGGTGAATTGCACGATCTAAAGGTGCTTAATATTTTAGTTAGTAGTACTGATTTTAGTTAATTTTTATGCAGGAGTTACGAGTGAGTAATGGTTTTGGAGGCGTTGTTTTAAGGTATTTTGTTGGAAATTATCTTTTTCTCACTATATGTAAGAAGAATGTTACTTTTGGCTGAATGTGGTTTATCTTTATGTAACATGTCATCAAGTTCATGATTTTTATCAACTAATAGTTGGAGCACTGATTAGAGCTGTAGAAAATGTCATCGGCTTCTACCTCTATTAGTTGTGTAGCTGTTAACCTGTCTCCTTTTGGCAATATAATTTATTTGTTAAAATTGCTGTTAACACTTTGCTTTAGTGTTTAGCTATTTTGCTTTTCTCAAACAATGGATGGTTGCTTTCAATCATTGAAAACAATAACTTATTTTGGCTTTGATCGGCAGAGGAGGTGGAGTAGTGTTGTTCAACACTAGGAACCTGTTCAACATGCTATGAAATTGACAAAGCTACTTTTTAGTATTTAAGGCACATATTTTGTTTTATTTTAGGTGTTTAACCATAGTGTAAGACTATATGACAGCAGAGGCAAAAATTTTCTTCTAAAGAGAAGCAAGCAAAAGAGGAAGAAATCAAATAAGTTCACTTAAAGTTGTTTCCGTATAATACTATTATTGAAGATTTTTTAAAGAAGCGCTTCTTCAAAGAGCAAATATTTTCTCAACAAGACCAAATGGGGCTTATGTTGTTCAACTTCTAAACCAATGCATTCTCTTGTGACTGTTTAGTAGCTATATATTGCAAGTTGCAGGATCTCTGAATAGTGATTACTGATTTACTGTGATTCTGTTTTAACAGTCCGGCTGGAAATCAATGCGTCTCAAGAGAAGATTACTCTATAATCCAGAAGAAAGGATTGGCTGTTGTAGATTGTTCATGGGCTCGCTTAGATGACGTGCCTTTTGTGAGGCTGCGCTGCGCTGCTCCTCGCCTCTGTATGGACTTAACCACCAAAAAGAATATATTCAAAATTTATTTTATGTACTTCATATTACGTGGTTGTTTGTTTATACACTTTTTGAATGAAAATATCCATGCTTGACTCAAGTACTATTGTAGTTGTCTGTGATGCTTAAAATTTCCTTCCAGTGGCATTGCATTTAATCTTTTTTTGTTGTGTTTAAGGTTGCCTCTATTGACATGGAATGTAATAATTACTTTTTCTCATTTTCATTTTATTGAAGTGCCATGGCTTGTAGCAGCAAATCCAGTAAATTATGGTCGTCCATGTCAACTATCTTGTGTGGAGGCCTTATCTGCTGCTTTGACAATTTGGTACCAATATGGCTTTATCCCTGGCTTCTGACTAGATGTCTTTTTGATGTTGCTGATGTTTTCTATAATTTCTTCACTCCAGCCCTCGTGCCTCCAAAAATATGTAACTGAAAAGTTTGGTGTTATGAATAATGGCTAATTTGCTATGATACTGGGCTATCATTGCTAGAAATGTGCATGATTATTCTATCTCCAAATGTTCGTAAATGGAAAAATTATGACATTCAGATAAAAAAATTTGGTCTGAACTAAAACACTTTGCAGTTTGCAGCATGTATAATATTACTGTTAACTTGCATTATAGTTTATTTTAATTTGAATTCATATTTATTATTGAAGATTATCCATATCTCAATTCTATATTGTTAAAGTTCTTTTCTATGATCTTGCAGTGGGGAAGAAAAAACAGCAAATTTATTGCTCGGGAAGTTCAAATGGGGTCATGCTTTTATGTCTCTGAACGGGTATGAGGATGTTCTACTTCATAGATATAACTTCGTTATTCAGTTTTTTTTCACTTCTGATACATTTGAGGGCACAATTTGAAACATTACATGGTATTTATTTATCCCCATCTGTTAAATGAGAAAAGCAATAGGGTACACTGAGCCCCTCTTTGTTTCTTCAATTGAAACCTTGGAATTTATGCTTAAAAATACTTAATTGACAATGCTATTTTTTTGTCCTTTCTGAGTTGAGTGTATCACTTAATTAAGCATGATTTGCAAATGAATACTGCTAAAAAATCTGTCTTTGTATGTAACCACGGACAGATTTTTTTTGTTAAAAATTAATTGGGATATCCGTGTTATCAATTCTTTCGACAATTTAAAAAATGCTAGAATTGATTAGGCATATGTATATAACTAGATACTTGTCAGGAGTTTGGGGAGGAGGGAAATTTTGTTAGCAACTGTTATGTCAGTTAGTTAGAGGGGTTAGTTATGTATAAATAGGAGGATATAAGGAAAGGGGATCTTTCTGTTTTGCATCAATTGTGAACTGAGCATTAGCTCTGTGTGAAAGGGGAACTCTTTGTGAAGGGATTAACCCTTGGAGGGGATAACTATGTCCTCTGTTCTGTTCTGTTGCAATCAAGAAATATAATGTCTTTTCTCTATTTTTTACCAAGTTCCTAACAATACTCGTTGGCTGTGATTATTAGGTTGCAAGTTAGCATGCCATTAGCTCCTAAATTGCCTCTAATTTGTCCCTTAATTTTTCTTATGATTGATTGTATTCAGGCTATAATTAGGAGATCAAATATGTAGTCTAACACACAATTCAGTTCATCTACTAATTTATATATATTGCTATGGTGAAGTCAAGGATTTCTAAGGAAATACAAATTCATTCTAATTGTTTTATTTCCAGATAGATAACTAACGCATGATTCAAATGACTAATTTATCAATTTCACGTAACTTCATAGAATCCTCCGCATTGACAATTCTTTATTAATTAATGCAGGGAATTGCTGAGGGCCTACTCCAAATGCCAAAATAGTGCTGAAATTATTTCTGTTCAAAATGCTTGGCTGTCCCAAGAGAGACAGATTCCAAGGGCTCCTACCGATGATGAAGGTATGTATTGGTTGAAAATGTAATATATTTTTTTATGAAATGGTGGCCATAACAATGTAAACTCCAAGAGAGAGTAAACCTTGATGCGAAGTAATTTTGCTGCCCGATGACTTTGTTGAGGTCATGGGTTCAAATGGAAACATTTTCTCCATTGAATGGCAATAAGGCAATAATATTTTGTTTTCCAGCTATTCTACCTTCCGCATTGGTTGGTGACTTGTCACCTGGCGTGTCCTTCTTGGAAACAGCCTCCCTGGTTGTGGGGGTAACCCTGGATTCGGTCACGATTAAGCAATGGTCTACCTTTTTATCTCTCACGTTTGGTAGTTTTATTTAGCCTTCTACTCCTATCTGTTGAAAATACTCTCTAGTCTCTGTATATTTAGCAGAGAAGGTATGCAAGAACTCTGGTTTGTTGATCCAAATGCAATACATATCTGCTGTCATAATTTTCGCTCATCCTTTATCTCATTTTTCTGAAACTGTTCTATTAGCATAAACTTTTAAAGGTAGATTGAGAAGAAAGCTATTTGTCATTTGTGAACATGTTTTTTATACTCGTTCTTGGAAAGTGGTACATGACCATGAATGTGCTTTTTTTATGCTCTTAAGTATATACTTTATAGGAGCTTTATTTACTGTATCACAAAGAAAAGATTGTTACGCTCTAATACATTCTTTGGGAGTTTTATCTTAATTTTGTTTTGTACTTCGTGCTGTTGCATGTACAACTACGACACAGAAGATGAGGATAAAATTCAAAACTCTTCCGACTCTGAAGATGGGCTTCCACCTCTTGAAAAGAACATGAATCATTTGAGCATAGTCAATAGTGATGAACAAGAGAGCGAGTAGACATGCATTTTACATCTATAACGCGAGATACCTCTCAAAGCATGCTGCGATACTGGAGGTAATTTGAAGATGTGTGCAATGCAGAGTCGCGTAGTTGCGAATCTTTTTGGTTATAAAAAAAATGTGTAGTATTGTCATGGGCAGTGGTGAATATTTTCCCACTTCTTCCTTATCTCTATTTTATAAAATATTTAAATAAGAAAATATGGTTTAGTGTCAGCACGTAGTGAGTTATACACACTCTTTCCTGATTAGGTTCTGAATGTGATTAATTTTCTGGGTGCATTAGTTATATGGCCTGAATGATGGTGAAAAGGAAATTACTAAGCCACAAAATACTCCAGATGTTGTGGAGAACATTAGAGTATAATAGGAATGTTTTGTTAATGTAATAGTGTTAAATCAATGATAATTTATTTTACAAGCAAAATGATGTATTAATACTACATGACAAAACATCTAAAATTAGAAAATGATAATTGTTAAAATCTCCATTTTTTCAAGGACACACTTTTAGAAATCAAATCCCCACCATTACAAATTTAAGAAAACTCTTGTGAGTATCCTCTGATATAGTAAAGCTTGGATACACAGTACTTAATATATCACCCTTTCGCAGAATCAATCACAATTAACAACTAAATAATAAAATGTAAAAATAAACAAAAAATAGAAATAAATTTGAAAAATAAAAAAATCTCCCTTTTATTTTTCTTCAAACAGAATGTCTCAGTCTCCCTCCCCCACATCCATCATTGTACAGATATATTAAATAGGGTGATCGGAGAAGGTGATTTATGGCTTCACCCTTATAGTCAAAATCCATATTTTGTGTTGTTGATTTGTGATTCGGTTCTAATTATGTAAGTCTAGTGGTAAAATTGAAAAAAAAAAAAGGTTACTTTATATATATATATATATATATATATATATATATATATATATATATATATATATATATATATATTATTAAATGTCTATGTGTTAGGATACTCTTTACTATATATGTTGGTGTTTGTTAATTTTATAGAATAAAACAAGTTTTTTTTTTTTTTTTTACATTTTTTTTGGGTCAGTTTACTAGGTCAACTGTAAGCAAGACAATCCACCGATAATGTGTGATCAATTTTAGCTTAATCAAAATAAGCTATACCCGAAGGCACACACAAGATGTTAATTAATTTTAATGACAAAAATGTACCATTTTATTGCTTTTTACTCAATAAATAAAAATGAAGTAAAAATCATTACGATTTCAACTTATCCAAAATATACCATAGATTCAGATCATATATGATCGTAGATTCAACTACTTTAGAAAATAAAAGAATAAATATTTTATTACATTATACAATCAAATAAATTTGATATTAATAAACAAAATATTTTTTAGATTAAAAACTAGATAAAAAGAAAGGTAAAATATGTTTTTCATATAATAATAATAATATTTGTATTTAGTATAATTACAATATTTTATTTAATTTTTAAATAATATTAATTACACTCAATTTTTTAATCTATAAAAATAGTTAATTTTATGTTATGTGAACCATTAAATAATATGTATACTTGTGTTTATGTTAATTACAACAAATTTTAATTTAATTTTACAGAATACCAAAACTAATTATATATATATATATATATATATATATATATATATATATATATATGTATGTATAATCTCATTAAGATCATGACTTTTTTTTATGAATTTTAAATAATACATAGATAAATTATTTTAAATCATATTTAAATTTATATATACATATCAATAGAGATATATGAAAATCAAATCATAATTTAATTGTAATAGACACAAGTATTTATATATTTATTATAATATAAAACCATGTTTTATTCTAAAAAATATTAGCAAAATAAGGTAATTATAAAAATTCATCTAAAACTTGTTTAAGAAGAATTAATTGAAATAAGTATGTCATATTAAAGCAAACACATTTATTGATTTAGTATTTTATTAAGAAATACAACATATAAGTGGTGGAACTATACACTTTTTGATGTTATTAAAATTATTATTAAGTACTGGAATTTTTTTATTTTATCATCTTAATTTTATAGATTTGAATAGCCAATCACTATTTTATGATAAAGTTACGTAAAATTAGAGAGTACAAATACAACACTTACTTGAATAATTATATTATTTAAAAAATAAATTATCTCGATAATTTAGAGTCTTAAATTTATCATTATAATATTATATATATATATATAATTAAGAATAAAAATTAACTTTTTTTTATTATATATAAAAATACACTGGTTTAATAAGATAATACTTTATCCTAATAATTAAATAATAAGAAAAAATAAATAAATCTCTTCATTGAAATTCAGTGTTCACATTAAAAAAAATGTTAAAAGAACAATGATTATTAATAATAATTAGTATCAATGTTTAAAAAAGCGGTTACAAAATTATGTATTAAAATATTAATTATAATTTAAAAAAGTTTAAATAATAATATAACTATTATATTTTTTAAACTTTTATTTTTCTCTTAACGGAATAGGTTCAATAATATATATATATATATATATATATATATATATATATATATATATATATATATATATATATATATATATATATATATACTAAGTAACTGTTTTAAGAAATTAATTTTTTATTTCCTTTTCTCGTCTTCTTTTATATTAATAAATATGTTTTAAGCAACTTTTATTTTTTCCTTTAACAAAATAAATTAAATAATATATATACAATTGAGAAATTAATTTTTTCTTACTTTTTCTCTTCTCCTCTTACATAAATAATTGTAATAAACTGATTTATGTCATTTGCTTTAATTTTTATTCTTAAAATATATAATCGCTTCACGTATACATAGAATAATGTCACTAATTCTTATTTTTAGAATAAATATCTGAATTTACATATATATTTACGAGAGTGTGTGTGACGCGTTTAGACAAAGTGACAGAGTTTGCGCGAATTGGACAAACAAAATAAAAACTAAAGCTTTAACTTGGAGTAGTGCCCCTCTCCTTCCTCTACCTCTGTCTTATTATTCATCTCTAACATACAAAAACATTTTTCTTTCTGTTTCTCCTTCATATCATGTTATTCTAACATACATACATTCATTTCCCCCCCGAAGGGTGCTCGTATTTTACTCTTCCTCAACATTGGTATTTCTACTGCTTTCTTCAATTTCCTGTCCACTTCTCAATTCCATGCTTTTGCTTAATTATTCGCATTCACTCCCTTTTCTGCTTCTCAACTTCCTCCCTCCTTCTTCCTTTATGTTTTCATTATGTTTTCCTTTTCATCAATTGCTTCTATTGCCTGTTAGGGTTTCACTCATGCAATTGCCCACGCAGGTTTGCGGGTATGAATAGTGTCTTCGACGAGCAGGTACTTGCGGACAAGCTGTCCAAGCTCAATAAATCCGACCTGTGTATTCAAAGTATCCTTCTTTTTGGAAAAAAATGTTTATTAGTTTATTTTGCTTAATAAATGTGCTTCCTTTTTATAATTATTTGCGCTGCCTCGCCAATTGGGCATGTACGTGGGTGGCTGGTGGGGGTTGGAAGTGTTTATCTCTCTATATATTTATATATGTTGCAATTCATTGGAACTTACTAGTATACTGAAAATTATATGTGCTAGAGTTTTAATTAAGAGTAAGGAATGTCATTCCCGAATGGAGGTGTGTGATATAGTTGAGATGCTTTGGTGTGTTAATTTGGGAATTGGTCTCTGAATAAATAGCCTTGCTGTTATTGGAATTACAATATTCGTATGTAAATGTGCCATTATATCTTCAGGTGTCATGGTAATTATGACCTGGTAAATCTTTTCAGTTTGTATGTGATTTGGAAAGTGGAAAGAAGTAAAGAACTATTGAATTATGACTTTTTGATTGCTGGTTCTGTTTAGGGCATATGAATTGTTGCCTTAGATTTGTATGTTCTTGATTCTTTTTCGTGTTTGAATGACTTGAATATGTCTCCAATTTTGTCTTTGTGAAATTTCAGAAAGTTATTGTGTCTAGGATAAGCAAAATAAGAAGATAAAATTCTTGTCATATAGACTTGCTATGCAACCACAGGGGAAGCTTTTATGTGTAAAGTCACACGCTGTACTAAAAAGGAACTTTGTGGACTATCTGTTTGAATAATGTAAAAGTATCAGAGTATTAATTATATACAGATGTGTTTCATGACATTCATGTGTCAAGGAGATGAAAATGTTAATGGCCGTGTAAATTTGGTTTTATGCTAAGGCTCTAATCCTGCAAGTTTGTCAGTTGTTTCTTTGGTTTATATTAATAATAAAGTGCACAATTTTACTTCAACTATGGGAATTTCTACAAAGTCTGTCTGCTTTTAGGCCAACAAATTATTGGATCCTAAACTTTTTAATGGTATCCATTGTCTTCTGGCATGTATTTTACTTTTATGTATGCTTTTAGACCCACCCACTATTGGCCGTGCAATGTTCACCTTTAAAAGGATTTGCCAAGTGCTGTTGCAGCCCTAGCTTTTGGAGAACTTATTTGCCTCTGTATGACTATAACAAATCAATAGTTTAAGCAAGACATATGTTTGATGCATCAAAGTATTGTGTTTACACTCTGTTTAAAGCTGAATTTGTCATGGCTTGGTCAATATAACTTGAAGTGCTTTCCTGTTCTGAAATAGTATTTTTGCATGAATATTTCTTACTTTAAAAGTGGTTTAAGTTTAAAGAAAAAAGGCTATGCACTAATGGTGTAAAATATTTTAACACCTGTTATCCAATCACAATATATGGTAATTTTGTTGACTTTTACAATAACTACCTTAAAAGTTAGATTAATTGTAATTTGTGATTTGATGACAGTGGAAAATTGTTTTGCACTTTCAGTGCATAACCATTAAACTCGTAGTTTTACTTTCTAGTATTAAGTTGATCTTTTAAAGTGCATGAATTGATTGTTGATGCCATATACTTTGCTATCTTTAATTTTTTTTATTAGCGTTGTCACATTGGTGTATGTTTCACCGGAGCAAAGCAGAGCTGGTAGTGGCAACGTGGAATAAGCAACTTCAAAATCCAGAGAAGGATCAGCGAGTCCCCCTTCTGTATCTTGCAAATGATATCCTTCAGAAAGATAAACGTAAAGGAAATGAATTTGTGACTGAGTTTTGGAAGGTTCTTCCCACAGCACTTAAGGATGTTCTTGAGAAAGGTGATGATGAAGAAAAGCATGAAGCAATTAGACTGGTAAGCCCTTTTCCAGGATTTGAAGTGAGTACAATACAAGTGAATACAACCGTTATAATAATTCTTTAGAAAAGGGGGAAAAGGGGATTTTGAATGGTTTGGGATTTGGATATGAAGTTGTTACAGACTTATTTCTTCATGCATGACCTTATACTTATGGCACATAAATGTTGATAAATGATTGGCAGTTTGATCTAACTTGGTGCCTACCTTACTTTAGGTTTATATATGGGAGAAAAGGAGAGTGTTTGAATCTCACACTATGAACCTTATAAATGTATTACTTGGAGAAAAAGCACAAGCACCTCCACAGTTGGAATTCAACAAAAAACGATCTCGTTCTGTCAGAATTGTGAAAAAGGATTCTCGTTCCATCAAAACGGTGAGCTGGGGGCTTGGTGCCTATCCTCTCCTCAATTTTATACTCCAACCTTTTTATGCTTTTAGATTATTGCACCCTTAGTTTGCAAATCTTCTTGCATAGCTAACCATATGAATTTTATGTAATTCAGAAATTGTCCATTGGAGGTACAGCAGAGAAAATAGTCTCAGCCTTTCATACAGTGCTTAATAAACATTCCGATGGAGATGCAGAGATGAGTAAATGCAAGTCGTCTATTCATCATGTGAGGAAGATGGAAAAAATTGTTGATATTGCATGTGCTATCGGTAAGCTATTAATATAATGAAATTGACACCTGGGTTTTGGAAGATAGGATTCTTATACTTTTTTTCTTTTTCAGTAAAGGACCCTAAGCGAAAAACTTTGTCTAAGGAGCTAATGGAGGAAGAAAATATTTTGAAAGAATGCATTAAAAATCTCAAATTGTTTGAAGCAAGTAGATCAGCACTTGTAACTCAATTAAAGGAAGCTTTGCGTGAGCAGGCAAGTATTTATGTCTGTGTGGTCAATAAGATTTTACATGTCAAGTTCAGCAGCTATTAGGTTTCTGGTTGATATTTTGAGTCCTGATGCTATCTTTTAATTATTTGTGTTTTATGTAACAGGAATCTGAGCTGGAGAATGTTCGTACTCAGATTCAGGTATGTATTATAATGATTCTTTTATCAGAAGACTGTCCTATTTTGAGTAGTTTCTTATGAGATGCAAATGTGATCTATATTTTTCAGGTATCTAGGTTTTCCATTATTTAATTACCTTTCTTATATATGTATCTCTTCTTAGTACATCTATAAAAAGTAATTGGCCCATTATTACAGTAAAGTTTGTAAAATGCTCATAAATAGTGTTTGCTGTTATAAAACATTTAATAGAATAAATTATACCCTCCTTCCCCGAGGTGTACATAGTGTACACAAACCCTTGACTCTTAAAAAAATTTCCTTGTTCATTTTTAGAGTAGTGTATATGCTAGAACATATTTAAACTGGGAAAGGGAATTCGGAATTCAATGTTATTTCTTAAAGGATTAAACATGTTTTTGTTCCTTATAAAAGTTTAGATTTCTGGTTTTCTCTAGATTTTGTTTGTCCATTTTTAGTCCCTAACAGAGACTGAAATTGATGGTGGAAAATAATTGAGGGATCAAATTTGGACATTGTTATAGGGACTAAATCAGAAATCCGAAATTTCGTAAGGACAAAATATATTTAACCCTTTCTGAAAGCAAGGAGTGTATGACATACTTTTTATAAACATCAGGCATACGATTTAATAAACCCAGTTTTGAAATAGAAATAAATTAGTTGCATTAAAGGCCATTATATATGTTGTTGAGTATGCTTTCATTCAGGAACTTTGACATGATTTTACTGCTAATAATGCTAACAAATTTGAATTTAACTGTATGAAGGTAGCTCAAGCTCAAGTAGAAGAGGCTAGCTACATGCGGAAGCGACTTGATGACGAAGATTCTTCATCTAAAGCTTCAATTGCAACGCCTTTAGTTACTGATGTGAATACAAAATCAGAAGCAGCAAGTAAAAAGTCAGCTGCAGCAATAGCAGCTGAGGTTGCAGATAAGCTAGCTGCTTCTTCATCATCTCAGTTTATCATGACTTCTGTTCTCTCTTCATTTGCAGCAGAAGAGGCAAAAAATGCTTGTCTAACTTCTGAGTCCGTGTCAAAACCTGAGAAGTCAATACCTGTATCAGATCCAAATGTTATGTCTTCACAACAGTTGATTGCCACACCAAATCATTCGTATCCTTCGGTTTTGGTACCTCAACCCACCTTGCAGAATCCAACCGCAACATCACAGAGTCAATATCAATTACTTTGTAATCCAACCTCCCACCATTATTTGCAATCAACTGGAGGGGTCATTTCTCCATATGGTTATGGCAGCGTCCCTCCTTTACCACCGGGACCACCCCCACCTCACATGGTTGGCCCAATGGTCCCTTTGACACATCAGACAATGCAAATAGCTCAGCTGCAGCCAGCACCTATAGCTCCACATCAACCAATAAAGTTGACGCAGCAAGCCCCAGCACCTCCTAGTTTTCGACCACTTCAACCGCCAGGAATGGTGTACTATGGTAATCATCAGCATTCTATATGATATATACCCCCGCAGTAGCTAGATTTTAATCAAAATGATCTGTTTGAAACAAGCAAAATTTAGAGATTATTTAATTTTGAGCCTATGGTATGCTCACTGTGGTTTAGTTGGCAATTACATGGAAACCAGGCTAGTACCCTGGTCCCTGGAATGTAAAAGCATTGTATCACTCGCTAAGATACAAAATGCATAACAAATTCGTTTGAGACCGATTGTGCAGTGAGTTCTCTCGAGCAAAGGTCGCGATATATTTTGACATCATTTTTTACGATAATGTACTTGTATTACATGGCTGATTAAATAATTATTGGATTATATATTAGATGAAGAAAACTGAGGCAGTGACCTTCTCATCTACCGCATATAATTGTTTGTCGATTGAAGCAGCTTTAATAATTTGACGCCCCTCAACTCTACTATTTCCCGTGCCTCTCCTGTGCTGTTGATTTGGAAGAAGGATGGCATTCGGATGAACTTAAATCATCCAAAACCTAAGTCTACCCTTCACGTGTCTGCTTTTATTCTCTACTCTTCACTATAGTTAAATGAAGCTTTGGAATAATAATCTATTATTACTACTGCTTAGGTCTAAATTTTGAACTCTTCATCCTGCATGCAAGATGCCTTTGCAAGCTTTTTTCTCTCCTACATAATGCTTTCTCACCACTCCATAGATTAACAAACATCTAAACTTTTATGAATGAAGGAATATGGTGTTTGATGAAGCATCATTGTGAGCATCTCCACAATTGTATTATGAAATTCGGCGAAAATGGAACAATAAATACAATAGTAAATGAAGGTATGACTAAAATTAAAAAGATGTGACCAATACAAATAGTTGATCTTGACTTGTTACTTGATGGACATAGAGCAAGATCACTGTACTGTAGATAAATGAAAAATCCTTATTAGTCAAAATGTTAAACACTAGGTATTTATAGAAAAAGAGACCAATAAATTGGAAGGTGATGTTCCTTAATCACAATTAAGGAGATATATCAAAATTTCACTGTCAGATCCAGAATTGTCAGTAGAACATTGGTTGAAGATAACGGTGTTATTAGAGCTAGTACATACAAGGAAATGGAATCAAACCATTACAATAGAATGAATATTAGCACGAGAAAAACTAGTAACATAGTTTATAGAATATTTTTTCTAACTTATGTTTTTTTAGTTATAGTTTATTATAAATTGTAGAATCATGAGCGAAGATTTAAAAAAAAAGAAGGTGGTCTATACAAATGTCCATTTTTCAATTCATTAAAATAATAATAAAACATTTTTTATTGATAAATAATGATTACTAATGTATAAAAGCAAGTAGATGTTAAAAACAAGTTATTATCAAGGTTACATTAGAAAAAAATAATTAAATTGAATCTTATCTATTTTAATATCTTACATGTATATATATAATAACACATAAACTTATAAATTTATTTATAGAATAATAATTATTTTTTAAATAAAAATAAAAATAATATTATTATATTATATAAATTACAAATTATTTTGATAAGATATCTAATAGTGAATATCAAAGTTTTTAATAATCATTTATCTTAAAATTTAATGATTAAAACTAATTATGATTAATAAATTATTATAAATGAACGATGATAATAAAGAGTAAGTTTGTAATTTTTATTTTGAGATCGAATAAATCTATTTTTTTATAATTTATATATTAAATTATTATATTTTAAATTAAAACTAATTTTATTAATATAATCTAAATTTTTAAAATATATTTTTATTTAAATATATTTTTAATTAACTATTTTGATCTATATATATATTAATAATTTTTTTAATTTTTAATCAAATTAAAATTGATTCATTAAACTAATATAATGTTAGAATAAACTAAAATTTATGATTAATTTTAAAATATAAAATAAATTACATCATTATTTTTATTTTTTTTATCCTTAAAATTATATTAAACTTAGACCACTTATTTTAACAACCTTCTAAACAAGTGGTATAAAATCAGAACTTGACTCAGTTGGACGTGTACCATAAATATGTAGGAATTTATTGAAACAGTGCCTGTGCGTCCCACAACACATTTTTTTGTAATAAAGTCACATAGGCCTCAAATATTTTCAATTAATTTTTTAATTTCATTAAACACAAATATTCTATGCTTTTATCAAAGGAATTCATAAAATAATAACATACTCAAATATGTTTTTAGTTCTTATAAAAAATATAATTTTTTTTTATTCTTACAGAATATAATTTTTTTTTCTTATAATATTTACGACTTTTGATTTTCGTTTTTATAAAATATTTTTCTTTTATTTTCATCCTTCAAATTTTAAACTACTATTTTTAGTCTCTATTATTTATTTTAAGATAGATCTAAAATTCGTTATTTATTTTTAAGAGTTTTGATATTATGTTATAATATTGGTATGTATCATATGAAATCTTTTGTTTAACAAATACGTAGTTAATTATTTTTATATAATATAATAAATAAATAATGATAATTTTTTAATTTTAGAGGAACCGAATGTTTTTTTTTTACAAAGACTAAAACTAAAACTAACTCATTTTACATGGACTAAAAACTATATTTAAACTATTATTATTATTATTATTTTTTTTTTTTATTACTCTAGCCTAAACTCTAAATCTAACATATCCTTTTAGGTACTAAGAAGTAATGAATTATTTAAAATATTATATATATTATAGATCAATGTTGCAGATTTTTTCAAATAGAGATTAAAATTACAAAAAAAAAACAGAAAAAAAATACTTAGCTAATATTCCCCATAAAGAAGCATTATTTTATTTTTAATAATTTGTATGAAAACAAAATGTTTTTAACTTGTTTATTATGAATAGTTAATAAATACGCATTAACATATTATTTTTTATATAGAATAATGTAATAAAATATTAGTATATATATATGATAAGTATATTTATTTATATAGTAATTAATCAGTTAACAAATTTATAGACACTACACATATAAAAGTAAACAATGTTCTTGGAGTTGCAACTTGGATTATATACTAACATTTGATGCAAAACTCTAATTTTAATTGAACAAAAAAAGTACTAAAGCACCTTATTAACTATTACAGGAAACACATACACTTCCATGCATACATTTATATTAAATTAAAAAAATAAAAAGTGGATAATTTTGTAAAAATAATGTAGCTATACGTATTTTATTAAATAATAAAACTATTTTAATTTGATAAAGGATAAAAAAATTAATTAAAAATAATGACATTAAAAGTAATTATTCTATGGTTTAAGAAATGATTGTGGGGAGAAACTAAAATATTTGATAGTTTGAGAAAATCATATCTACTTGTGTGAATCACGAAGTGTTTGTGGTGGTTATTTTTTATTAAAGATATTGTCGTGCAATTATACATTTTATCAAATAATAAAATTATTTTTATTTGATAAATAATAAAATCGTGTAATTAAAAATAAGAAAAATAACTATAAAAGATTGTGGCTTATTTGAGATGAATGATACAAGGAATAATACAGAGAAACAGTTGTAAGTATTAATTACACTAAATATTTCAGAAAATTCTCCATGATAATTCAATTTAGTTGAAACGAGTTTTTATTTATTTTTTAAATAAAAAAAATGTAGTATTGGTTAAGAAGGAAAAAATAGAAAGCATGTTATAATGGATAAGTGAAATTATTGCGGGGTTGGTGCATTGATTGTTGTTTTATAGAGAACCAGAAAAACTGTGGTGGATCTTTGGAAGCAGAAGAAGAAGAAGAAGAAGAAGAAGAAGCCATGAGAAGGTCTGTGTGTGAGTTCTTTTATGAACTTTATGCCAAGACAATAGTTCTTGTAACATACATGCTAGTAGAACTTATCCTTATCATTCGCTACCTTAAGTCAGATACACCTCCGATATCAACCACTCAATACCTCAGTTTCATCGAAGAGAAGAACCCCACAATTCGGTGCACCACAAGACTCAAGGCAGAGCACATAGACTGCAGAGTGTGCCTCTCTGAATTCCAGGAAGGGGAGAAGGTGAGGAACCTCAACTGCAGACACACTTTTCACAAGGATTGCTTGGACCAGTGGTTGCAGCAATACTGTGCTACTTGCCCACTTTGCAGGCACAAGGTCTTGCCAGATCATGTTGTGGCCAACTACAACCTCCTTCAAAATCAGGTACAAGAAGAAGAAGAAGAAGAGTATGATGGCAATGATCACCAACTCATCTTTTTGTTATCTGCATTAAGGGGTGGTAACACTTGGCACACATATCTTTGATCTACTTTTCTTCCTGGTCCTCCCCTTTTGGGATTACTCATTCCTTCCCAACAATATTCGTTCATGCATCCTTAGATTTTTGTACCTATTTCTCTTTCCAAATCAAGGTTATATATATAGTAAAAGATAGACTCTAACTATTTTCCATGTTATGCTGCATAATTCTACCTAGTTCACCTTTGAATTTGGGTTGGTAAATTTTGGAAATGATTTTAGTTCGATGCTCCAGAGTCCACATCGGACATATCCCAAAATGGAGATGTATTTCAACAGCCTTTACTTTCTGTTTATCAAAAATTTAAGAAGAGATGACATTGTCCCAAAACAGAGAAAGCAAAAACTTTTACAGTCCAAAAAGTTCTGAACTAAATTGCCTATCGGTTGCTGTAGGGTTAGTCACCACCCTACACTCACATTATGGGGTGTATCTGTAACAGAATTTGAGTGCGAAAAGTTGTTGGATCAGTAATAATCACAATGAGATTAGTTTTTAATATATAGTAACTAAAGAAACATGGGACAAGATTAGAGAGACCGAGTCAAACTCCAATTTAGTAACTTCAAAAAACGTTAGACTTTTTGTTTGTTCCACTCAACTAACTCCTTAGTTCATGTATGCATATCAATAGATTTTGATGGACTGAAACCTTGTGTTCCTTAAAGAGGTGAATTGTTGAACTACAAGTAATAGTAGTAGCAGATAGACATTGAAATGCTGCGAAGAGCCTCTTAATACAATAATAGATGGTAGGTGAAAAGGTTAAATGATTTGTTGATGCATGATGTAGAAGGGAATCCTCAGAAGTCAGACAGAGCAACCTTTATCTTTATGGGATGAGTCCCCACAAGGCAGTACTAGTCACATGCAAGAGCAGAGGAATTAGCTGTCACTGCTCATTCTATCTTTTAACCGTGAACAAGTTACTTATTTTCCAAGGTTTATACAGTACAATACTACAACGTTTGCAGAATTAAGTCGAAACAAACAGCTCCTGAAAATAGAGAAAGAGAGTTGACGTATATAGCTTCCCCCAACTCAGACAAAAGTAGCTATAGAATTAGAGTGGTATCATGGTAGTGTTAATATTGTTGACTTGACTTACAAGTCTTGCTTTTAATGCATAATGGCTTATTATTATGTCCCAATTTTCGACCCAGGACCACACACACTATACTCCTTTTCCTTCTCTCTGTTGCTTGTTACCATTTCTGCTGCATAGAAACTGGTTATGGTTACACTAGGTCTGTGTTCAGAGATAGGTTAACAGGACCACAAGAGCTGTGTAGTCTCGCCTTTTCAATTCCAAATGGGTTGATCATCATGTGCATTACAATCACAACAAATATTAGTGGGACTAAAATTTTAAATGTAATTTATCAAAATAATAAATCAAAAACCAACCCTGATGATTATTGTAATGCTGCTCAAACAACATATCAGTCTCGTTACAAAGAAAGTCATCACTGATATATTCAGGTGGTGAAAAAAAAAACATATAGATAACTTTTGGGTATAAAAAGAAGAGAGAAATGAAATATGTAGATAATTTTTTATTATTATATTAATAAAAATGATTATTAAATTATTAATTTTTATTGTTCAGTTATTTATATATCATCACTCTTCTTCCATAATAACCCAGAGAAATAAATGCTTATACTAACAAGAGAATAACATAAAAACATCCTCGTCATCACTTAATTATTTAAAGTTGTTAAAATATCTTAAATAGTTAAATAAATAAATTTTATTTTAAGGATTTTATTAATATTTTTATGTGTTATATGTTGATATTATATAAAAACATTACAGTACGTGTTACTTCGAATGGTCATTTGATATTTTTTCAACACATAAATAATTATTAGTGTAACGTGATGTTAGAGATAAAAAAAAAATAATGATTTTCAATTTGAAAATGATAAAAAATAGATTATTGAGACTAAAATTAAAACTTAGTCATTTACAGAAAGTTTTAAGATGTTCAAACTAAGTATTAATCCTAATTCTACAAGTTAATGAAAGGTGTTCTCTCACTAAACGATTCTATTTTTAGTTAAAAAAAATCATAAATGAAAAATTAGTTTGGTCGCACTAATTATCAAAACACTTTGAATAATTTGTGTTTGTTTAGTTTTTGTAGGGTTTTAACACTTGATTGATTTTGGAAGTATAAAAATTATGGTGAAGTTTTTGACTGAATTATACTTGAAGATCATAAATGTAGCGGGTGAGGAAATTGAATATAGTAGGGAACAGGGCAAGTATATAATTATGAACTCATAACTTTAAATTGGACACTTGTCACCCTTAAACGTGCCTTCTAATTGTATGGACCACCAACCCTAATCTTCTTTAAGAAAATATTTGACATTATGGTTGACATTTTCATGAATTCAAAAATATATTTACTTATCACATGGAAAAGCGTCAAAACTATAGAGTTGTGATGAAATTTGTATATGAGTATCCTGATATATTTTCTTAATAAATAAATTCATAAAATATGATGAAAGAACTTAGCACTTGTTTGATAACACTTTTATTCACTTTAGATGAATCAATTGTATCTAAATGTTCATTTTAGTTGTGAAAGCCATATTATTTTAGTCTTTAACTACAACAAAACTAATTTTGTTGAAGATTTATAATTTTATGGGGATTGTTTAAATATTTTTTTAATTATTATAAGGTCTATATTGATATCACACTACAATTATAATTATTAACTTATTATTCATTCAAAATATTTGAATGAAAACAATAAATTACAATAAAAATTACATTTGTAAACCAAACATCACAAGCTTCACAAATTTGTATTCTTCGGCCAATTAATGTAACAAAAATAATTAAACAAAACTCTAAAATAACATAAATTTGGAAAAGAAGACATCCTAAGACAGAGATACTAATAACAAATTTATAATTTATAGTTTTAATAATAATAAAAAAAAAGTCAAAGCGTATCACATATAGTTTTTTAATTAAAATATAAGTATTGCTTAAAGTGTATTTTAAATCTTATTCTGTATTAAAAGACATGTTTAAGTTTAAGGACTTAGTTTGTAAAAATGGTATTTTAATTTTTTGTAAATTTTAAAAACTTATTTTATAATTTAAAAAAACAAAATTTCAAAAAATATTTATATTTTTAAATTTTTAAAAATAAAACTGACAAAATATTTTTCTATATAATATTTTACATATTTACCAATAATGTAATATTATCAATATTCATATTAAAATTGCTTTATTACTATTTGTCATCATTATTGATATGATTTTTTTAAAATAATTTTAAATTAATAAAAAATTTCATTTATTTTAAAAACTAAATTTTTTAAACGAATCTTTAAAACTGAAAAACAAAACTAAATTAATCAAATACTCAATCTTTATTTTCTTCCACCACGGTCCATGCCTATGTTCAATAACACAAGATTAATTCTCTGACCAACTTCCTTGTAATGCCCTCAACATGATAAAAGGACCACAATTATGAATTCAACATTTTTTTTCATATGTGTGAAAAACACTGTTCAATGAGTCACAATTATTTGATCAAAACTTATCATCCATTTGCAGCAAAACCCTCAATTCCTTCTTATTCTTTAATTTTCTTTTCTTTCTATCAAAGTTTCATGCCAACCAACCAAAGGCTAATATATTTATGTGATTTTTTAACTTCAAAATAATAATAAAAAAAAGTTATGAAAATTTATCAATTGTTGTTCATTTTTAGAAGGAATCAAGTGTTTAGCATGATTGTTACCATGAATCAACGGTGGAAGAAAATACATCCATCGTTCTTATAAAGAAATTCTCGTTAAGGGTAGACAAAGCCATCACAACCAAACAATTCTTCAAATTCTTTTTTTTTTTTACTTAGTGAAAGTTATATTATATGTCACCATCACTCCATTATTAAAAAAAAAAAAACTCTTTACCAAAGAGAGATATTTTATAATCTTACTTTGACAACAGAGATATTTTAGTTCAACCAACGATGATCAATGATGATGCAGTAAAAGCAGGTAAAAATACAAAGCATAACAAAAAAGTTATCTCAATTTAAAAGGGGAGGAACTTTCTCTCTAGACACAAAATCGTTGTTTTGATTTGGATTGAAAACATAGGTATGTACAATATTGGAGAAAGATAAAAAATAAAGAAAGTGCAAGAATGAAAGAAGCAGAAGAGAGTGGATGAAGATAATGATAAAGATAAAGATAAAGATGAATGAGTGGTTGAATTTAAGCAGAGAAGAAGCTGGCAGAAGCAGCCATGGCAAATTGGGTCTTGGGCTCCAAAGTCCACTGGACAAGCTGCTTCTTTTCCTTCAGACTGGACACCATGACCGAAACGCAAGAAGCCAGGTCAATCTCTGCACCACCACTACCACTCTTTTTCAAGCTCTTCACCCTCCTCTCGTACTCCTCCGCCACCAAAATAGCAATGTCAGACATTCTGGTATGTGTTGTTGTGGTGCTTCTTCAAACTTTAAAAAGGTTGTTTTGCTTTTGCTTGTTCTCACCCTCTCTGGGGCAAACCAATTTATAAAGGAGAGTGTGAATAGTTTTGGGATAAGAACGAAGGTGAAACCTACTTGTGAAGTTGTCGTTGCTTGGTTACAGCCAGTGGGTTTGGTTTGTCTGTTTTCACATGCACTTTTTGTGGGTGGGGCAACTTGTTTTCACTCATTTTTTTAGTATTTTATTTAGGTTAGTGGAGGCGCCCATTGAATTGCAATATGATGAAAAGTTGAAAGCTGCCAAACTTCATAGCTTAAAAAATCAATTTTTATATATTTATTATGAACTTTTTTTTGTTTTATATTTATTATTATAAAAAATGGTGTTGAATCAAATTTATTGTTTGTACAATTTGTATTTATAGTTTTCGTACTGAACAACAACAACAACAACACCGATAAAGAAATTCTATCCACAATCAAAGCTAATATAATAAGACATTTTAAGCAAAAGGAAAGAGTTTCACTATAAAATATAAATTTCTAATTTCTTAATATATTCATCATTATATCTTTTAAACAACATAAATTTTTTAATAAACCTCCTTAAAATACTTGTCCATAATAATATGTTAATATTTTTAAAACAATTTAAAATTAATCAACAAGGTTTAAATCAAAATAAGAAATTAAGCATACATATAAATTTAAATTGTTTTATTGAAATAAAATAGTTAAAAATAGACAAATTAAATTAATATTCTTTGTTCTCTAATCTCACTAACGTGGTGACCACTCAATTGTATTGTGATATGATAAATAAGTATAATTATAAATTAATGTTCACTATTTCTTATTTAGTTTAATTTACTTATTAATATTAATATGTTAATACAAAACACCAGATGTAACATCAATGGGCATTAAAAGACATTTCACCAACATCAATTTGGAGTAGCTTGAGACTCAAGGATCCTACACAAATAAAACACTCTCCATTCTTATTTGTAAGACTCCTTATCAAAACATTATATAATACATTAATTAAAAATTATATGTTTTTTATAAAAAATACGTGAGTTTTATTCAAATATTTGAATACAAAATCTGAAAACTTCATTTTAAACTAACACAATTAATTTGTTTTAAATGTGTGAATTAATTAAAGTGTCTTATTAATAGAATTAGAGGAAAAAAATCGGTTTTCATTTTTCATTACACAATGTCTTTATTTTATTTTCTATTTGCAAATGTTTCAAGAACACATTTTTTCACTATTTCTTAAAACACTTTCTTGAGACGAAACGAAACGAAACGATTCCCAAGAATGGTGCAGGCTATGGTTCCACGTTCAGGAAATTAAAGGCATCATAGGAATTTGTTTCTGTGGGCTAAAATATTGAGTTATTAAATAACCTTCTTTTTGCATCACTTTTTTTTATATCTTTATGTTCTATCCATGTGCACCATTATCTATAGCCTTATCTTATCCATGATTTTTTTTAATATCTCTCACCGTTCATTTTCTCCTTTCCATTATCCTTGCATTATCTAATAAATTTTTTTTTTCAAACTGTAGAATGTCACTTGAAAAGTAAAGGATGCTTTCTTCATTTTGAGTTTTATTTCTTAAAACTTTCTTAGTTAGAAATGGTTTAAACATGTTTATATATTCAAAAACGTTTTTAGAATTTATTTATCTTTAAATATTTTTCATTCATAGTTAAGTGTAATAATTATGAGAATCATTCCTCAAAAAATTAGAGGAAGAAGTTGAAAAACCTTCCACCTTATAAAGTCTCTTTGATAAAGATAAAGAGTAGGACAATATCACATCCTTCTTTGGTATTTTACCTTATTACAATATCACTTCCTTCCTTACTATTTCACTTGGTCTTTTTACCCGTCAGAATCATCTATGAGTGACTCTCAAATTGGTGTTACCAACGTATCAATTATAAAACTAAGGAGAGGAATCATCTCTAAAAAACTAGCTAAAGAGGATAGATAATATTTCACCTTATAAGACTTCCATGGTAAGAACACTTCTTCAATGTAGACTTGTTATCTTAAGAGATGTAAGAATGATTTGATGGTAAGGGTAAAGATTAAAAAAAATCACGAGACTAGTTTAAAAAAAGAAAACACTATATTTAAAAAAAAGTAAAAATATATTTAATTTATTATTTTATGATCAACAATATATACACAAGTCAAGTAAAAATTTTGTAGTAAAACAAAATAAATTATTATAGTTAAGAGTGTGCTAGTACTAGTACCAAACATCTCAAGAACGTGAACTGTGCATCTATTATTAGGTTTATTGTAACGTCCTTTCATTCTTCACATGTGTAGACAAAAGAAATTCACAAAGTTCAATACAACAGAAAAATTATAAAATGTCAAAAACTAAGTGAGCTGAGGGACTTGATGACTTTATCCTCTTAATAAGGAATAAATCACTATCCATCAAGATGTGAATGATTTAATATAAAACTAATTGATAATATATAAAGTAATCTAATAGATTTTTAAATTATATCATGATTTATAATATAGATTATGAAATTTTTAATAAATTCTTTTAAAGTCTACTGAAATATTTTGACCTATAATAAAATAATAATTTTATATTTAAGATAATAATTAAAAAAATAGACTTTGATTTAAATATGTTAAGATTTCAATTTTATAATTAGACTTTAAGTTATATATGTTAAGATTTTAATATAAAATCAATTAATAATATATAAAATAGATTTCAACGTAAAGTCAATTGAATATATAAATAAAGTAGTTTAAATTAAATTTCCTAAGACGGAAGATATAAGACTTCCAACATAAAGTCTCCTCCAACCTCACATGAGGCCCAATGTTTCCAGCTGCTGCACAGCTCTGGTAGAATGGATGGAGGAGACCAATCAGACCCAGTTATCTCTCCAACATTAATGTCTTCAACTGCATACTCCTATGATAAGTAAAACAGTTCATAATCAAGAATACAAGATGATGGTTGAAGAGAGTTGTTTAAGTACCTACTATCGAGCATGCAATTAACTTCACACATAAGAATACCAATAATAAAACCACTACCAGGGGTTTGATGAGAGTAGTCTAGTGTCCAGGGGTTTGAAGTCAAGCAAAACAGATACAATAGAATCCAACATATTCAGTATAAGCTTGATACAGACTCAAAAAATAGTGATACAAAGGAGCAAAGTATATCAGTAAAAAATGAAATCAAGCAGACTATAAAAGAGAAAAAAAGAAGACCTTGCTCGTATGCATTTCTTGATAAATACTTATAAGAAAAGAAAACAAGATAAATTAAACTTCTTCTGTAAGTTAAAATCAACTTTTTATAGCAATTTCTTCATTTAACTATAATAATTGTGCATAAATTAACTCAGGAAGAAAAGTTTTATTCATTATATCTTGTTTTTATCTCTTAGAGAAGTACATCAAAAGGTTTATTCAAATTGGGCTAAGAAGATCACATGATGTAGTAGATGGATGCCAACTTCCTACCCAAGCCGAAGGCTGATAACCACCTCCCATCCTCTACTGCTTCTAGGCCCAACTCAATTTCCTGTTTGGCACAACCATCTCTACCCCTACAACGTGTCCTTCTATTCCCTTTTTCAGAATATACCTTCCATATCTTGGGGCCATGACTTAATAGCTGCCCTACTGTGCCTCAAAACCTCAATCTCATCAATGCTAGTCAACAAAGTAGTAAATGTAATTTCTCCCATTAGAAAATAATCCTGTTTAGAGTAGTACATGGTTACCAGCAGTACTGGCTTCGTCTTGTTTGTGGTTTTGGTAGTAGTGAGCTGAGCTTTTACTATCTATGTGGTAAGTTACTAGGGACTTGAGCAGTAGTCATCAAAATTCTCATTTTGTTATTATTTATTTTTATATTGAGTGGTAATGTTGGTAACTCGTGGTGTTATTTAATTTTTTTATTGGTAGTTTGTTTTTTCTAATCATAAGTTGATGTTACCCTATTTACTTAGTTTCAAAATATCTTGATTATCAAAATATTTTGAGGTCCAAACTTTCAAGTTTTCTACTAGTTGACTATAAGTTTTCTTATTCCCGAGCACTCTCAATCTCTTTCACCCTTTATTCCGATTATCTATATCTTTATATCAGTCACTGTCTAAGTACCTCACAACTTGGTAATTGTCCGACATATTTTCATCCTTAAATACCTGCTTCTCACCAATAGCTTGGTTGTATCTCTCATCTTTTTTAAAGACCTACTTCACACCAATAGACGGACCACATCTTGGCAATTTGGTCATCACCAACATATCATCCTATTCTCGGATCTTCTTATTCATAACAACTCAGTTCTTCTCTTTAACTTGCCTCTAAAGTGGATTGCTCGCCTATTTACTAACAATACACACCTCTTAAAACTTTCTTAAGTGGGGTACTTGTCTTATTACTGAACACTCTTCTGCAAACTCTCTCATTCATACTCGGTATTCCAAGCATCAGACCTTCACAAACTTTTCCCTCGATGCTTGGCGATTGGAGCACACAACTCTTCATGTTTTTCTTCACCCTCGCTGATTCGGTTATCTCTTCCCCCTTGGTTACCAAACTAACTACTACTGGTGGTGTAACAACTCGAGCTCTATCATCCTTTTTAGCTCCCCATTTTTTATTAGGCACAACCTCTTTTTTCTCTTTCTAATTTGATAACTATAGTAGGTGCAACAACTTGCACTACTCGGTCCATTTCTGATTGTTCCCACTTCAACTCACTTGCATCGCCAACTTGCACAATATCATGATTACCATCATAAATCAACTCTGTTAAGTCACAAAAATGTTTGTGACCAGATCAGTGATTTACCTTCAACGTGTCCTCTGATTTCTGACTCCTCTTCTGAACGCTTCTCAGCTCCAACTTGAACACTCTATCATTTCTCATCTCTACTCGGGTTGTCAACCTTCCAAATTTATTCTTTAATTATAGTACTCGATCTTTCATAAAAACTGAGTATCCTTTCTTCATCAGTTGTCTCATACTCAAAAGATTACACTTTATATATGGAACATAAAACACATCTTGAATTGACCTAACAAGTTCATCCTCCTGCAAGAAACAAACAGTACCCAAAAATGCTTGTGACCACATCTGTGATTTATCTTCAACGTGTCCTCTGCCGACTCCTCTTCCGAACGCTTTTTAACTTCAACTTGAACATTCTATTATTTCCCATCTCTACTAGGGATCAACCTTCCAAATTTGTTCCTCAATTGTAGTACTCGATCTTTCATGAAAATCGAGCATCCTCTATCAATCAACTGTATCATACTCAAAAGATTACACTTTAGATCTAGAACATAAAACACATCTTGAATTTACCCGACAAGCTCATTCTCCTGCAAGAAACAAACAGTACATCGACATTTTATTGAAATCCTAGAAGCGTCTCCAAACGAAACATGGTCGCTATCATATTTCTCCAATTTACTGAATAAGCGTTCATCCCGACAAAAGTAATTACTCGCACCGGTATCTAGATACCATACCGAGCATTGGTCGGTATTGGCCCGAACTCCTTCACTGCAAATTCCTGTGTTGAGCTCGGTCATCAACAACGTTATTCCAGTTTCCTTCTCCTCTGCAAGATAAGTATCACCCACCTTTTGACATTATTTCGCAATATGTCCCTCCTTTCCATAACTAAAACATTTTTCCAAATAACAGTTTTTCGCATAATGGTCATACTTAAAACACTCGACATGTAAATGGTTCTTTGACCGACCTCCTCTCAGTCCACTTCCTTGCTAGTTTTGTTAATCCCCTTCTTCTTCTTCTTCCTCACCTCGGCTACCGAAACCACCTCGTCCAGATCGGTCACCTCGGGACCGACCAACACGTCCTCTTCCTCTATTCTTCTGGGAATAGAGCGTATTCTCCTTGTTCTGGAGCAGCTTCACGCTCGTGTCTTCTTCCTCCTTCTTTTTCTTCATTCGATGCTCGTAAGTTTGACGACACTCGAAATAGAAGGGAAACAATTTAGGATTAGGTTTTGGAAGGTGATTTGATTGGAAATAGAAAACAGAAAAAAATAAAGGACAATGTAGGCGTCGCAAATAAGAATATTTGATAAGCCAAGAAGGACTGTCACAAAAATTGGAGAATTCTTAATAAGATCAAAAGATACAAGAAAGAACCTTAGCAAAGCAACAACTCACAAATTGATTATGAATAATACGTACTTTCATTCTGAATTTCTAAAATGTTTAATACAATTTAAGTTTATGAGTTTGTCTCATTTGCAGAAAATAAAGATAAATTAAAATTTTAATATCCCAAGCAAAGTTAACTTACCGTGATGGTTTAGTGAAGGAATTATAAGCTTTGGATCTTGGGTTCAAATCCCCACTTTAGCAAATAAAATTAACACGACTTCATAACCCGAGAAATAAAATAATAATAATAATAATAACTAAATCTTCTAGTTGAGTCTCCTAGTTTAGTGAAGGCTTTGGGTCTTGATCCTTCTCGTCATGGCACTACTAGAAAAATGTCAAATAGTAGCAGAAATCGATGATTGAAAAAGTTAGTTACTATTAGTGATCGAATCGATAACCAAATTATTATTTTTTAATTTAGTAACTGAAATAGTAATTAAATTTTCGGTCACAATAAATCGGTTACTATTTCGACCACTTTATTATTTAATTTACTTTTTTATTATTTAATTTAATTTTTTAATTTTTTTAATTATTCTAATTAGTATCTAATTTTCACTCCCTCTCTGTTACCCTCCCAACTTTCATCTTCTTCGCACTGATAATCCTCCAAAATTTTGTGTTCTTCATCTTGACGACCCTCCCAAATTCACCTTCCCGCTCACAATTTCACTCCCTCTTTGTGACCTTGTACCGGTGACTATCCACCATTGTTCGAGCTTAATCACCTTCGTCTCTCCAACCCCAATCCTCCACCCTTCTATTCAGCTTCGAAGATCTTTAACCCGAGCATGCATGACTCGACCTCAAGCTTGAAATCCAACCCAGTGACCTTGAATCTCAAATCCGAGTGACCAAAACACCCAATCAAAACCCAAGCAACTTCGAATCTCAACCCCGGCCTCAACCTCGACGAACTCGAGGCCGAACCCCAACTACGGCGACATCGAACCCCAATGTCAAGCCAAACCCAATTGTCATGCTTTGTGAAACCCAACACAAACCCAGCGGAGCTCGAACCCTAACGCATACCCTAGTGACGTCGAACTCTAACCTCGAGCCAACCCCCACTTTAATTCGGTTGCAATTAACGATTGATTGATTGCTCAAGGATGTGTAAAAGATGATATATTCAATGTATGTTAAAAAAGTTCAAGCCAAACTGTTTTTATAGAAGATTTTCAAAACTGCTGGTTTAATTAATCTGTTAAAAGATTCTTTTAATCTGTTAAAAGTGCAGTTTTAATCTGTTAAAACTTCTTTTAATCCATTAATACGTTCTTGATTCTTTAACAGATTTGTTTTAACTGATACGATAACGTTTATATCAATTAAAACACTTTACAAAAAATCTTCTAAGTTGATTTAATCGATAATTTCGCGATTCAATCAATTGAAATACTGCAAAACTTTCTCGTAAAACTTTTCAAGTTATTTTAACTGATAAAAATATGTTTTAATCGATTAAAACGCTGTGCATAAATTGTTTTAATCGATTGAAACGAGACTTAATCGATTAAAATAGTTCTGATCGGTCATAACTGCATTCTGATCGATCATAATTGAAACAATATAATAGCGGTTCCAGGTTAACCGCTATCTAAGTGAGCTTTTAAGAGCGGTTCTGTGTAACCACTATCTAAAATGTATTTCAGCTTGAGCGACACTCTTCTCGCTCGAGCGAAACGCCCTGCACAAAATTGGCATTCTCGGGTTGTATTTAGCTTGAGCGACTCTAGTCTCGCTCGAGCGATATTTGATTCCGATCGATTAGATTTTCGAAATGATCGATCATATTTGATAATTTTTTCAAATAATTAATTATAATCAATTAGTTTTCTAAATTATTGATTAGAATTGATTAGCTTTTCAAATAATAGATTAGAATTGATTAATTTCAAAATATATACTAAAAAATTATAATTAAAAATATAAATTAGTTAAGAATATTGACTATTGTAAAGATAAAGTAGAACATGGGAGGAGATGAGGATGATAATATAATGATAGAACTTACAAAAATGTAGAATTGAGAAGTTTGAAACAAATAAAATTAAGAAAATAGATATTTAATTACACTTTTAATAAATTTAAGATAATACTAGTTTTGATTTTTATTTTTAAATATTTATTTTAATTATTTAAAACAGAGAAACTATAATTTTAGTTTCTAGCTACTGAATTTAAAGAATTAAATTTATTATTATTTAATCTTTTAATTTTAGTATTAAAATTTTAAATTATATTTTATTAAATTAAAATAATTACAATATATTTTTCTACTTTGAGAATGAACAATATAATTAAACTCAAAATTGACAATATTATAATACATTTTTGAACTCTTTTGGATTAATTTTTTTTCCTAATTTTTGATAAAGTTAATTTTAATATTTAAAAGTATTTAACATTTTGAATTACGAAAGGTTTTCTCTAATAGAAAATTTAAAAACATAATATAAAAAAAATAGTTAATGTAAGTTTTCATTGATCGATCATAATTGAAACCATATAATAAGCGGTTCCAGGTTAACCGCTATCTAAGTGAGCTTTTAAGAGCGGT